CTATCCACCCACCCAACTACCCATCCACTTATCCATTCCTCCATTCATCCACCCACCTATCCATTCACTCACTCACCCATCCATCTGTCCATCCATCCTTTCATCCATCTTATCTTATCGACCCATCCACACATCCATCCCTCCATTCATCCATGCCTCCATCCATCCACCTCCATTCATTCACTAACCCATCCATCCATCCATCCATCCATCCATCCATCCATCCATCCATCTCATCCAATCCACCTAATTCACTGACTCCATTTCATCCATCCCTCTTCCCATCCATGCCTCCATTCATCCACCATCCATTCACCATCCATCCATCCATCCATCCATCTCGATCCCATCCATCCACCTACCATCAATTTGACTGACCATCCTCCTCCCATCCATCCATCCACCATCCAATTCATCCATCCATCCATCTCCATTCATCATTCAATCATCCATCCACCCATCCATCCATCCACCCATCTTCCATTCACCCATCATCCATCCATCCACCCATCCATCCACCCACCCATCCACTTACTCGCCTAACTGATCCATCCTTCCATCCATCCATCTTATCCATCCACCTACCCATTCATCCATCCTTCCTGACTCCATTCATCCATCCTCCTTCCCATCTATCCTCTATTCATCCCATTCATCTATCTATCCATTCATTCATCTATCTATTTATTCATCTATTATTCATCTACTCATTTATTCATTCTATTTGTCTATCACATTCATTATCTATCTATCGTATTCATTGATTTATTTTATCTATCTCTTTTCTTTCCTTCCTTTCTTATTCATCTATCTTTTTATTTCCATTTATTTATTTATCCATCCACTTCCACCACCCATTCATCTATCCATCTAACTATCTCTCTCCTCCTCCCTCTCCCCTTCGCTCGGCCCACCATTCACCCAGTCAACCACCCATTCATCCATTCATCCACCATTTACCCACCCATTATCCATCCATCCATCCATCCATCCATCCATCCATCCATCCATCCATCCATCTCATCCATCCATCTACCATCCACTCACCCAATTGACCCATCTATCCATCTTCCTCCTTCCATCCATCCATCCTTCATTTTACCCATTCATCCTATCCATCCACTTACCCACCCATCCATCCATCCTCCTTTACCCATTCATCCATCCTTCCTCCCATCCATCCACCCTCTGTATCTGCTACCCATCCATCCATTCATCTATCCATCCATCCATCCATCCATCCATCCATCCATCCATCCACCCACCCACCCATTCACCCATCCATCCATCCATCCACCCACTCACCTACTGACCCATTCATCCATTCATCCACCCACCCACCCATTCATCTATCCATCTAACCATCCCTCCTTCCCTCCCTCCCTCCCCCCTCCATTCATCCACTCATTCATCCAACCAACCACCCATTCATCCATCCATCCACTCATTTACCCACTCATTTATTGATCCATCCATCCATCCATCCATCCATCCATCCATCCATCCATCTATCCATCCATCCATCCATCCATCCCATCCATCTACCTACTGACCCATTCATTCCCCTTCCTGCCTCCCAACCATCCATCCATCCATCCACCCACCCACCCGCCCGCCCAAAAAGTTATTGAGTGCATCTGCTGTGAGGGTGACCATGGGGAACCCACATGGGCTGCTGCCCTTGAGGCAATCGGAGGAGGACAGCCAGAAAGGTCACACAGTGTGGCCAGGGTGGTGAGGACAGTGTTCAGTATGAGGATGTGACACCTGGACCAAGTATTGAGGGGCAAGTGCCCCAAGGTGTCTGAACTCCTGAAGCACAGCTATCCACCTGATTGCCCTGGTCCTGGGCTGCCCTTTCTTCAATGGAGCCTGCCCAGTGCCTGCCCGCCCATCGGAGGCCTGGCCTTGTTGAGGCCTCTCTCGATCCCTCACCTGAGAACAAACACCTCTGTATGCTCACTTGCTTACCCTCCACCCCTCACACAGAAGTGGCACCTACATCCCCCCTTTCACCCCTGCAGTCCTTGGGAGGTGACGTGCACACCTCCAGGTGTCTCAGAACCTTTGGAGGCCCAGAAAGTGGCCGTGCTTGGGGGTCTGAGTCTGCCCTGTCTTTCAAGGCCCTGCACTGATTGTGTCAGGGCCCCCTGCCTCGCCAGGGTCACATTTGAGAAATCCCTTCACAGCAGCATCCAGCCCAGTGCCATGCCAAAGACTGGAGCCACAGCCAGACAGGCCGACTCACACAGCCACCGTTTGAGCGACCAGGACAGGTGCAGGGGACGCACCTGCTGTCTTCGGCTCCCCCAGCAGCACAGGGTTCTCTCTTCTGGCCTCCCTCCCCAGCCTCCTCTTCCTCTTCCCCTTCCTCCTCCTCCTTTCCCTTCTCCCTCTTCCTCCAGTGGCTCTGACCCCTGCATGGCTACCCCTCACTGGGCTTCCTGGTGACTCAGGTTTGTGGATACACAGCAGGAGGGCTGTCACTTCAGGTGCCCTGTGACGTCTGTGCTGCCTCCTCCCTACAGTCACTACTGCAAATTCCGTGCAGCCCTTGGCAACAGTGTCTTGTCAGGGTAAACACAGCGGGCGTGGGCGGACAGGGGAGAGGTTTTGGGGACCAGGATGCTGTCTGTGTGGGAGGCTGTACTCCACGCGGCCTCTGGCTCTGAGGCCCAGCCGGGGCCTGAGGCTGGGAGCTGACACGGGGCTGGGGCTGTCGGCTCCTGGCTGGACCGTGTCTGGCCCTCCGTTTGGTGGGTGATCATTCCCACCACTGCCCTCACGTCCTTGTCACAGAAAGCAGAATCGACAAGCATTTTCCTTGGAGTGGTCAAAGCCCCCACTCTCTCCCTCCACTGGGGCCCCTCGAACCCCATGGGAAAGCCACAGGGTGGCGATGGGGTCCCAGGGCAGTACGGCTGCCCACTCTCCCACTCTGCACTTGCTGGAGGCCGACATTTCAGTAACCAGCAATGGGGGCCACATTTGGACCCATATAGGACATGGGAAGAGAGTGGCTGCAGAGCTGCTGACCTGCCCGGTCCCCATCACCTCCACAACCCCGGTAGATGCTGCGAATCTGGCAGTGGGGACCAGCTGAGGCTTGGAGGCAAAGAGGTCGGGGACACTCTCGCTTTGGGGGTGCCGGTGACTCCACAGTCACCCTGGCCTGATGGAGCCCTCACCGTCTTCCCCAGAACAGCTCCCTCTCACCATTAGGAATGGGGTTCAGCTCTCTGCACCCTGCCCCATGCAGGGCTGCCTGTGCGCTCAGACAGGGCTCCTCCCTGGGACCTTGTCACGGGCCAAGACGGGTGTTAGGGTCAGACCCCCGAGCCTGGGCACCACCACTGCCTGCCCAGAGGGGACACAGGGTCAGATCCAGGGGACCCACCTCAGGCTTCAGGGCCGGAGGGGCTGTGCTGGGCAGCTTGTGCTCGGCTAGGATTCCTGCAATCCCCCCAGGGCAGGGGGAGCCTGGCCTGGAAAATCTCTGCCCCGAAGGCCCCCTGGAGCATGTCAGGGTCGGGGGTCTGCAGTTGGGGCTGTCCTTGGGTTTCCCCAGGGCTCAGTGCCAGTGGGTGGAGGCCCACACCGGGAAGTGAACAATGGTCCCCTCTGGCCTGGCCCAGCTGGGTCCGGTTTCCTAATCCCTGGTCCTCCTGGCCCGGGCCACACACACAGCTTCCTCCACGTGCCCAGGTCCTAGCAGGGAATGCAGACCCTGGGGCCTGGTGCTGGCAGGCACCACAGGAGGGCAGGAGGGGTTTCGTCCCAGGCCCCAGGTCCGGGCAGCAGGTCAACCAGGGAAAGAGCCTTGGTGCCTTGGGCCCCGAGTCTCCAAACTGTCAGGGTGAGTCCCCTCCCCACTGCCATCATGCTGCTGGCATGTCCCCCTCCCCTTGGGCCAAAGCTGCGAACTCAACTCAGGGCCCATCTATATTTTCAGGACGAGAAAATTGTAGAGAGAGGGGAGGGCCCCCAGACCTCAGTTTACCCACTGGCGACAAAGGGGAGCCCGCCTGTGCCCTCCCGGGCTGGGGCAAGCAGTGGTGGGCCCAGTGGTCTTGTGGCTTGGGGTCGGTATGAGTTCTGGTTCTCCAGGCTTTTCCAGACAACTGCTGGGCTTGGTGGGCGAGACCGAGGCTCATCAGAGGCCCAGCCTCAGGGGCAGGACCCCCACCCTGAGTGAGAGGTGGCTCGGGGGAGCCTGGGCAGGCTATCACCTCCTCAGCTCTCAGGCCCGAGGTCCTCATGTAGTCTCCGGGAGAAGGGGCAGACGGCCACTTCCGGCCACCAGTCAGCTCCCTGTGTGCCTCATTCTGTAACACGTCCCCTGGCTGGGCAGGTGCTCCCCGAGTTCTAATCACATGTAATTTCAGAGAAGGAATTTCCCAGCCTGGGAAAAGGATGGGCTTAGAGGGTGGTTGGGGCCTGGGGCCTCTGACACTGCTCCGTGAGCCTGGCCAAGAGTCCCATGCAAGTCAGTGGCCTCCCTGCACCCCGAAGGATCCCACATCCTCCCTGCCTTCGGGGAGGCCCCTTTCTGGAGTCAGGCCTGGAAACGGGTTGGTCCTCCCAGGGTAACATGAGCCTGATCAGGCCTGGGGACCCGTTCAGCGGGGGCCTGGGGGCCCGTGGGGGGCTACGGAGCCTGACTGGACATGCTTCTGGCAGGACGCCCCTCCCCCGGCCACCCTGGGCTGTCCCGCTAGTAGCTGGACGTGTTCCCTGGGTGTGTGCTGGCACTCAGGCCACAGGCCTGCCGCATCCTGAAGAAGGCTGTGTTTACCCAGGGAGCCATAAAGAGATGACCTCTGATAACCTGAATCAATATTTCCCCACTGGGGCTCAGGCCCCTGCAGCTGTCTTCTTGATCATCTGGCAAATGCCACACCCACCCCTTGACCCTCCCCTGCCTTCCTGCCCCCGTGCCAGGACATATAAGGACCAGACCCCTGCCCCCGGGCGCAACCCACACTGCCCTGCCAGCCACCATGGGGCTGCCACTAGCCCCTCTGGCGGCTGTCTGCCTGGCCCTGTCTGTGGCAGGGGGCTCGGAGCTCCAGACAGGTGAGAGAGCAGATACAGGGGTCTGGGGCCTGGCAGAGTGTCCTGGGGGCAGGGCCAGGCGGGCAGGCGAGTGGCATCTGGGAGGAGGAGGTGGTCCCCGTGTGCATCCTAGCAGCATGGGTGGCTCTGCTGAGGCTCCTGGCCTGGGTTGGTCCCCTGCAGTCCCTGGCCCTGCTGACTTTCAAGGGGCTGGAAGGATGGGGTTCCCCTGCCATTCCTCTGGGGTTGACTGCCCGATGACAGTGTGGGTCTTGGGGCCAGCACCAGGTGGAAACAGCAGCCCAGGCCCCAGTGAACTGCGTCATTGTCCATAGGGGAGGAAGGGGCGGCCAGGACCCCACCAGAAAGCCTCATTCTCAGGTGGCAGAGACCATTGAAGAGTTGGGGCAGCACAGCCCTTGCTGGGAAGTGGGGTGCCCAGAACCTCCTCTCCTACACCCCGCTGGGCACCCGGCCACACTCCTCACCAGGCCGGGAGTAGAAGCCCTGAGACCGCTGTGGTGGGGTGACCGAAGACCAGCAGAGGGTCCGCGGATAGGAAGCTTTCCCAGCCAGGGGCCCTGCGCTGGGCTGGAAGCTGCTTCCAGGTGCTTCCACAGGGCCCCCCTCTTGAGGGTAGCCCGGGCAGCCTTCCCCCACCAGGGCCACTCACCCCTCATTCACTGCTGTTCCCTCAGAGGGCAGAACCCGAAACCATGGCCACAATGTCTGCAGCACCTGGGGCGACTTCCACTACAAGACCTTCGACGGGGACATCTTCCGCTTCCCCGGCCTCTGCGACTACAACTTCGCCTCCGATTGCCGAGGCTCCTACAAGGAATTTGCCGTGCACCTAAAGCGGGGCCCGGGCCAGGCTGGGGCCCCCGCCGGGGTTGAGTCCATTCTGCTGACCATCAAGGATGACACCATCTACCTCACCCGCCACCTGGCTGTGCTGAACGGGGCCATGTGAGTGTGGTCGGTGGCACCCCTTCCACATCCTAGCAAAGGGGGCTGATGGTTCCTAAAGGGGTCTTCCTTGTAGCCCTAGGAGACCCCTTCTGCCCTGGCACACAGCTCAGGAGAACAGCCTTGAGGTTTGGGTTCAGGTCACTAATTCATTCAACAAACACTGACGAGCCCCCACCGTTCCCCCCATAGGCGAGGGGTTTCAGTTACCCCTTTGCCTGTGTCCCTGACGGCCCTCCCCTCGGAGCCCACCAGGCTCGGGACAGCCTTGGCACCCCTGGAGGCTGCCTGTTTCTGTTTCTGGTCCTGTGCATGGAGTGGCCGTGTATGTGCGCCCACCCCAGGCTAGAGTTACAGAAGTTGGTGCAGGGGGGCTGTGGGAGCCCCTTCCCCACTCCCAGCTATTGTTCCCCTATTGTCTCCAGAACAATGAGGCCCTGTAAGTGCATTCCTGTCTAGCGGGTTCCCCACCTGCAGGACCTGCCCCTCTTTTGCCTGGGGATTCAGTTTCCTGCAAGGGGCTCCAGCACAGGCACGGGCAGGCGGGTGGGTAGAGGCCCTCAGGGGTGGGCACGGGTGGGTGGGTAGAGGCCCTTGGGGACCGAGGCACAGAGGCTGGGGTGAGTGCCTCTACCTGGCCCAGCAAGGGGCATTGGCAGGAGGTGGTGTAGGGCCCCTGATAGCCTCAGGGGCAGTCTGGTGGGGGTTTGGGGCCCCATGGGGTGATGTTCCACCAAGCAGGGGGCCTGGAAGGAGGCTGGGCAGCCTGGCCCTCCCTCTTCTCCCAACCTGGTGCCCTCAGGGCCTCTGAGAGGGGACCCTGCCCAGGACCGTGCCCCGAGGGGGGAATGGAGAGGAGGGCGTGCAGGCAGGAGGTGGCTCTGCTGGGGAAGCCCGGCCAGAGACGGACAGGTGCTTTTCGGCCACCGCCCATGTCCCTCCACCCCAGAGGCTGGCCAAGTTGGTGGCCCCAGGGCAGGAGCTGGGCCTGGCAGAGCCACCTCCACCACCCCAGGTGCCCAGCTTCAGTCCCCTTTGGGCGGTGGGGTCCCAGGAGGACAAGCTGGGGCGCGGGTGCCTGGGTGGTGGACCCAAGAGTGACCCTGACGTGCCCCCGCCAGGGTCAGCACCCCACACTACAGCCCCGGGCTGCTCATCGAGAAGAGTGACGCCTACACCAAAGTCTACTCCCGCGCCGGCCTCACCCTCCTGTGGAACCGGGAGGACGCCCTCATGGTGCTCAGGGTTCCCCGGGCTCCTGGGGCTGGTCAGGCCTCTGGGTGGACCCCAAGGGAGGGCAGGGAGGGCAGTGCTCGGACCCCTCACGGAGAGGGCAGGGGTGGGGCAGGGCCTTGGCAGCGCGGGGCATCGGTGCTGGACTTGGGGGGCAGCAGCAGAAGCCGGCCTGGCCCTGACCCCCCAGGCCTCACCCTCCCCCCAAACACACCCAGCTTCTCAGGGACCTGCCCTGCCAGGCCGCTCCCTGGCTGCTGACCCCAGCCTTCCTGCCCCACCTTTCTGGGCTCAAACAAGCCTTGAGTCTTGGGGGTTCCTGGTGGCTGCCCTGGAGGCTGTGGGCGGGGCGAGAGGTCAGCTCACCTGCTCCCTCCCCCAACAGCTGGAGCTGGACAGTAAGTTCCGGAACCACACCTGTGGCCTCTGTGGGGACTACAACGGCCTACAGAGCTATTCAGAATTCCTCTCTGACGGTGAGGCCCGGAGGGCTTGGTGGGGGCAGGGTGGGCTACGGGCCCCCAGGTGCCCCAGCTGAAGGACCATGTGTCCCCAGGTGTGTTCTTCAGTCCCCTGGAGTTCGGGAACATGCAGAAGATCAACCAGCCCGATGTGGTGTGTGAGGACCCCGAGGAGACGGTGGCCCTCGCATCCTGCTCCGAGCACGTGAGTCCCCTCATTCTGGGGGGGGGGGGTCCTGGCGGAGCTGGCCTCTGAGCAGCATGCCCACCCTGCGTCTGTCCCCAGCGCGCCGAGTGTGAGAGGCTGCTGACCGCCGAGGCCTTCGCGGACTGCCAGGACCTGGTGCCGCTGGAGCCGTATCTGCGCGCCTGCCAGCAGGACCGCTGCCGGTGCCCGGGCGGTGACACCTGCATCTGCAGCACTGTGGCCGAGTTCTCCCGCCAGTGCTCCCATGCCGGCGGCCGGCCCGGGAACTGGAGGACTGCCACATTCTGCCGTAAGCCCCAGCACCCTGTAGGCAGGGGACCCCACGCTGGTGCTTTCCCCAGGCCCGGTTGGGAGTTGTGTCCGTGCCGGGCGCTGGGAGCCAGGGGGGACATTCACCGTGCCGGGCACCGGGAGCCACGGGGGACGCTCACTGCGGGCTGAGAGCCCTTCTCGGTGCACTTCGGCGTGGAGCGGCTGCTGTGCCCCAGCCTCACCCTCACTGTGTGGCCTCTGTGGTTCCAGCCAAGACCTGCCCCGGGAACCTGGTGTACCTGGAGAGTGGCTCGCCCTGCATGGACACCTGCTCACACCTGGAGGTGAGCAGCCTGTGCGAGGAGCACCACATGGACGGCTGTTTCTGCCCGGAAGGTGCGTGTGGAGGAGGGCCCTGCCCTGGCACTGCCCGCTGAACGAGAGGCCTGCAGTTCTGGCCTCGGGTTCTCGCCTGCGCTGAGGGGACGGCTCCGCTAGGTGGTGGGGGCAGTGGCAGCACAGAAGTGCTTCTCCCTCCACCCGATACCAGGGGCAGGTCCAGGGAGAAGGGGCCTCGGTGTGAGGCCCTTCCCAAAGGGTGGCTTCAGGGAGGCTGAGAAGGGGGCTGCCTTCCTGGTCATCACCCTGGGGATAGACTTCCCCCTGCCTGGCCCCTGACCCGGAGCCTGGAGGCCTTTGGGAGGAGCTCGATTGTCAGGGGCAGGAAGGTGGCCTGGAGGCTGGGCGCCCATGGCCAGACCCCAACCCAGGGACCAGGTGGGGACCACAGGCGTCGGCGCAGGGGACCAGTGGTGGCTGCGGGTGGGAGGCCTGGCTGGGGTGACGTCACCTCCCTGGCTGTCCCAGGCACCGTGTATGACGACATCGGGGGCAGCGGCTGCATTCCTGTGAGCCAGTGCCACTGCAGGCTGCACGAACACCTGTACACACAGGGTCAGGAGATCACCAATGGCTGCGAGCAGTGGTGAGTCCTGGGGCCAGGGCTGGGTGCGGCAGAGGCTGGGGCAGCTGAGCCCTGACCCTGTGCCCCACTGCTCAACAGTGTCTGTAACGCTGGCCGCTGGGTGTGCAAAGACCTGCCCTGCCCTGGCACCTGCGCCCTGGAAGGCGGCTCCCACATCACCACCTTCGATGGGAAGATGTACACCTTCCATGGGGACTGCTACTACGTCCTGGCCAAGGTAGGCTGCCCAGGGTCAGGGGTATGGGGCAGAGCTGGGGCTGGCATCCAGGCCCTTGGCCGTCCAGGGGTGGGTGGGCTGGCTGTCCCTGAAGCAGAGGGTGCCCGTGGGCTGTCCTGGGGCAGGTGACCGTGCTTCTGCTCTCTGGCTGGAGGATAAGAAGCGGGCCTTCCTTTCTAAGCCACTGACGGGTCCTAGGGTGCAGGGTGCAGCCCGTCCCGGCCCTCAGCTGCTGCTCTGCCTCTTGCCCCATCACAGGGTGACCACAACGATTCCTACGCTCTCCTGGGCGAGCTGGCCCCCTGCGGCTCCACGGACAAGCAGACCTGCCTGAAGACGGTGGTGCTGCTGGCCGACAAGAAAAAGAATGTGAGTGGTGCCGCCCCCTCCTTCTGGAGCCCCAGGTGCCCCAACGGGGGCCCTTCTCAGCCCTGAGCAACTTCGGCCTTTCCCGCAGGTGGTCATCTTCAAGTCTGATGGCAGCGTGCTGCTCAACGAGCTGCAGGTGAACCTGCCCCACGTGACCGGTGAGTTCTGCCCCAGGGAGGGGCCCAGGCCCTTCAAGCTCCGCTGGGCCTGCAGTGATTCGGACAGTCCAGCTGTCTCGGACCCAGGAGGCTGGGTGGAAAGGTTCCATGGGAGGAGGGTCCCTGCAGCACCCGGCAGGCTCTCTCCTGGGTCCTCTGCTGGAGGGGGCGGTGGGAGGGTGACATCCTCCTGCTGCTCACCTGGGCCAGGCAGGCCCTGGGAGCCCCGCCCCTCGCTGTGCCCCTTACCGTGTCCCTCACCGTGCCCCTGCCTGCAGCGAGCTTCTCCGTCTTCCGCCCGTCTTCCTACCACATCATCGTGAGCATGGCCAGTGGCCTCCGGCTGCAGGTGCAGCTGGCCCCAGTCATGCAACTTTTCCTGACGCTGGACCAGGCCTCCCAGGGGCAGGTGCAGGGTAAGTGGCCCCACTGGGATTGCCCCAACAAAGGCCCACAGGGGGACCTGCTAGCCCCAGACCCTTCCCAACCCTGTCCTGGCCCCTCAGGCCTCTGTGGGAACTTCAACGGCCTGGAAGGTGATGACTTCAAGACGGCCAGTGGGCTGGTGGAGGCCACGGGGGCCGGCTTTGCCAACACCTGGAAGGCACAGTCAAGCTGCCATGACAAGCTGGACTGGCTGGACGATCCCTGCTCCCTGAACATCGAGAGTGGTGAGGCTCGGCAACACGGGCGCCCCCACCCAGCCTGCCTGGGGGACCCGGCCCATGGCCTGGAAGGGCAGATGGGGCTCCCAGCAGGACACGTGGGTGGTGAGGGGCAGAAGTTAGGTGGCTCTCCTCCAGGGGCAGCCCAGCACCAGCTGCTTCCTGCTGTGGCTAGTTTACGGCGGCCATGGTGGCAGCCTGCCAGGTGACCCGGAAGAGGGCCTGGGCTGGTCCCTACCTGCCTCATCACATCCGGGATGCTGGGCCCTTGGGGGTGAGAGACGGGAGGTGGTGGGTGCCCTGCCCGGGTCTCTATCCAGCCTGGAGCTGCCTGGAAATTTGACTCAGGGGGAGGAAGGGGCCTGGGTATGGGTGCACAGAAGGAACCATATCTGGGGCCTAGGCAGCCGGGCAGCAGGGCCCAGGGGATCTCATGGGGGTCCCAGGCCCCACTGAAGTTCTGATCCCCTACTCCCCAGCCAACTATGCCGAGCACTGGTGCTCCCTCCTGAAGAAGACAGAGACCCTCTTTGGCAGGTGCCACTCGGTCGTGGACCCCGCTGAGTATTACAAGGTGGGTGGGACCCACACCCCCAGGCCCCCATGCCATAGAGGTGGACTCAGGGCACTCCCAGGCCCCCATGCCACCTGTGACGTGGACTCAATGCACCCGGCCGGGCCCACTGGTTGCTGCATGTGCATGTGAGCTTGCGTCTGTGAGCGCCGGGCCATGTTCTGCCTCCCTGTCTCACTGCCCACCCACCTTGTTCTGTCGCCCAGAGGTGCAAATATGACACGTGCAACTGCCAGAACAACGAGGACTGCCTGTGCGCCGCCCTGTCCTCCTACGCGCGCGCCTGTGCTGCCAAGGGGGTCATGCTGTGGGGCTGGCGGGACCGTGTCTGCAGTGAGTGCCGTCCCTGTGGGCTGCCTCCTGGGGATGGGGTCCACGCTTTGAGCTCCTGGGACGGGGCTGGGGGCCCTGAGCACGGGTGGTCCAGGGAGAGGAGTCGGCCCCCTGAGGCCACGGACCAGGCTCCAGCTTCATCAGCCAGCGGTCGATGGAAACCAGCTCCTCCTACAGCAAGGGGCGGTCACATAGCAGGGGCGGAACCTGGGGCCGGCCTGGAGCTGTGGTGGAGTGTGGAAGTGGGTCCCAGAGTGCACTCCCTGGTCCCCTGGCCGCCCTGGGGATGGGAGCTGGGCGTCTGGCTCCTCCTGCCCCTCACGCCACCCCATGGTCCTCTGCAGACAAGGATGTGGGCTCCTGCCCCAGCTCTCAGGTTTTCCTGTACAACCTGACCACCTGCCAGCAGACCTGCCGCTCCCTCTCTGAGGCCGACAGCCACTGTCTCGAGGGCTTTGCGCCTGTGGACGGCTGCGGCTGCCCTGACCACACCTTCCTGGACGAGAAGGGCCGCTGCGTGCCCCTGGCCAAGTGCTCCTGCTACCACCGCGGCCTCTACCTGGAGGCGGGGGATGTGGTCGTCAGGCAGGAAGAACGATGGTGGGTACCTGCTCGGGTGTCAGGTGTGGCGTGGGGGTGGGGGAGCTCCTTCTGGACCTGCCCCAAGCGGAGACCTGGGAGACTTTACCTGGGGAAGCTGAGACACCCAAGACTGAGGGGTGCCTGGGGTGGGGGGCGCTGACAGTCACCAGGCTCACATCTGTCCCGGGGAAGCTGTGGGCTGTCTGTGGCCGTCTTGCGTGGGCCCCACTCATCCCCGGCCTTTTCCACAGTGTATGCCGGGACGGGAGGCTGCACTGTAGGCAGATCCATCTGATCGGCCAGAGTAAGTGGCACAGCCTTGCGTAAGCCCCACTCATCCCCGGCCTTTCCACAGTGTATGCCGGGATTGGAGGCTGCACTGTAGGCAGATCCATCTGATCGGGCCAGAGGTGGCACCGCCCGGTCACCTCCTCCTCCCCACCTGCCCTGGCTACACGTCCCCAGCCACCTCCTCGCCTGCCCTGGACACCTCCTCCCTCCCCGGCCACCTCTCCTGCCTGCCCCGGCGGCCACCTCTCCCCAGGCCATCCTCCCGCCTCCCAGGCCACCTCTCCTGGCTGGAATTTCCCGCCTGCCCTGGCCACTCTCCCCAGCCACCCCTCCCCACCTGCCCTGGCCACTCTCCCCAGCCACTCCCCTCCCGCCTTGCCCTGGCCACTGTCCTCCTCGGTCACCCCTCCCGCCTGCCCTGGCCACTGTCCCCAGCCACACCTCTCCTCGGGCCTGCCTGACACCTCCTCCCCGGCCACCTCTCCCTGCCTGCCCCGGCCACCTCTCCCCAGCCACCCCTCCCCGCCTGCCCTGGCCACCCTCCCTGACCAGCCCTCCCCAGCCTGCCTGAGACCCCCAGTTTCAGCTGGAGCTGCGGCCCCTCCGTCCCACAGGCTGCACAGCCCCAAAGATCCACGTGGACTGCAGCAACCTGACCGCAATGGCCATCTGGAAGCCCCGAGCCCTCAGCTGTCAGACGCTGGCCGCCGGCTATGTGCGTGCTGGGGGTGCTGCTGTGGGCGGGCAGGGATTCCTGGCTGACTGAGCCTGGCTCCTGTACTGTGCCCCCTGCCAGGGTCTGGGTGCTGAGTCCTGAGGACGCAGGACCTGTCGATGCTGTCCCTGTCCCTGGGAGGGAAGTGGCAGCCTGTGAACCACTGGGGCACAGGGGCCAGTGTAGGGCCCTCAGCCAGCAGCCCTTACCGTCTCCCTGCCCTGTGGCGGGTCTGAGGGGAGGGAGGCCTGAGCCCAGGCTAGGGGGAGTGGTGGGAGGTCTGGGATGTGACAGAGACTGCATGGTCAGGCCTTTCCTGGCTGCGTATCCAATCCTGATGGGCTACAGGTGGGCTGCAGCCTCACCTGTCCACCCCTGAACCCCACTCTCTGGCTGTCTCCAGTACCACACAGAGTGTGTCAGTGGCTGTGTGTGCCCCGATGGGCTGATGGACGACGGCCGGGGCGGCTGTGTGGTGGAGAAGGAATGCCCTTGCATCCATAACAAGGACCTATATTCCCCCGGAGCCAAGATCAAGGTGGACTGCAATACCTGGTAAGCTGGCCTGGCCTGGCCTGTCCCGGCTGCCTTCCAGGCCCCACGTTCTCTGCAGGGGTGACCACTGGAGAGCGGGCCAAGGGGCAGGTGCTTCTCCTGGGGGGGTCCGCCTGGGTCTTGCGAGATCCTGTGGCAGACCCTGTCCCATGGGCAGGATGGTCTCTCATGTCAGCCGCTGGTCTTGAAGCCATAGAAGGGACATTTGGAGCCACTTTTGGAGCCTGCAGGTGTTCTGTGTGGGAGACACAGGGAGCTGTCTGCAAGGTGTCCAGGGTCTCCTCCAGGCACCCATGAGCGGGTCCTGGGTCCCTTCAGGCTCCTCTCCTGTCCTCCTCAGCACCTGCCAGAGAGGACGCTGGGTATGCACCCAGGCTTTGTGCCATGGCACCTGCTCCATTTACGGGAGCGGCCACTACATCACCTTTGATGGGAAGTACTACGACTTTGACGGACACTGCTCCTATGTGGCTGTTCAGGTATGGTCACGGGCACTGCCTGGCTGGGCTGCTTGTGGTCAGGGACCCTCTGCCTGCCCCGAGCCCAGTGCTCAGCTCCCTGGGAAACCCTGAGACTTGGGAAGGCCGGCCTTTCCTCAGCCCCAGACCCACACCCGCACTGGCAGGAGGATTCGGTCTTCTAGCCAGGGCTGGGTGGGGGTGGTAAAACCCCTCTGCACTGCCCAGTTCTGTGGTTCTCCTCTGGGTCCTCCCTCCTCTGGGTCCTCCTCTGGGTCCTCCTCTGTGGTCTTCCTCCAGGTCCTCCTCTGGGTCCTCCTTTGGGTTCTCCTCTGGGTCCTCCCTCTTGTGGGTCCTCCTCTGGGTCCTCCTCTGGGTGTACAGGGCGGGTGGGGTTGACCCCCCAGCCATGGGGACCGAGGGCACCTGTATGGGGAGCTGAGTAAGGGCCAGGGCTAGGCCGCTGCCCACGAGGCTCTCCAGATCCAAATCCCATAGCCCTTTGAGGCACTGTGATCCCCAGGGACAGGGTACGGGCCTGCAGCTGGGTCAGGTCCTCGGATGGGCAGGGCCAGGGCCTGGTTTGTCTGCTCAGTGGCTTTGGCCCCGCCAACTGGGGCGGGTGTGCCCTGGGACACCTGGGGCCCAGCTGTCCTGGCTGACCTTGCCCTCCTGGCCCCCAGGACTACTGCGGCCAGAACTCCTCACTGGGCTCATTCAGCATCATTACCGAGAACGTCCCCTGTGGCACGACGGGCGTCACCTGTTCCAAGGCCATCAAGATCTTCATTGGGGTGAGTGCTGCTGGCCCCGGGAATGTGTGAGCCCTGCGGGACCCTCAGACCAACCAGTGACTGGGCCTCTCCTCCGGGCAGAGCACGGAGCTGAAGTTGGAAGACAAGCACCGTGTGGTGATTCAGCGCGACGAGGGTCACCATGTGACCTACACCACGCGGGAGGTCGGCCAGTACCTGGTGGTGGAGTCCAGCACGGGCATCATCGTCATCTGGGACAAGAGGACCACCGTGTTCATCAAGCTGGCTCCCTCCTACAAGGTGGGCTACCTCCCTGCCTGCCCTGCCCTCTCCTGTCCTCTCCTGGCCAGCCCCCCACCCCCTGCCCTGGTGTTTTCGGGACAAGCCCCTGCCCTCCCTCCAGCCCCTTTTCGGAGCCCCCGGGGTGCTTGTCTCTTGCAGGGCACCGTGTGTGGCCTGTGCGGGAACTTTGATGACCACTCCAACAACGACTTCACCAGACGGGACCACATGGTGGTGAGCAGCGGGCTGGACTTCGGGAACAGCTGGAAGGAGGCCCCCACCTGCCCGGACGTGAGCACCAACCCCGAGCCCTGCAGCCTGAACCCGCACCGCCGCTCCTGGGCCGAGAAGCAGTGCAGCATCCTCAAAAGCGATGTGTTCAGCATCTGCCATGGCAAGGTGGGCTGGCCAGGCCACTGCGGGGCAACTAGGCAGAGCAGGGCTGTGGGTGGGCGGTGGCTGTGGGCAGGGCCACCCAGGCAGAACAGCTAGGCAGAGCAGGGCTGTGGGTGGCGGTGGCTGAGCCGGGAGCCACAGGCGAGGCAACTAGGCAGAGCGAGGTTTGCTTGGGTGGGCGGTGATTGTGGGCAGGGCCATGGGCGGGGGCCGACTGTAGGCAGAGCAGGGCTGCAGCAGGTGGGCAGTGACTGTAGGTGGGGACATGGGCGAACAACTAGGTAGACCAGGGCTGCAGGTGGAGTTGCAGCTGTGGGTGGGGCATTCGAGCATTGCAGGGCTATGGGCTGACTGTGCTGGACGTCGTTAGGGGTGCGTAGAGCATGCTAATGATCAGGCGTGGCCACAGCAGGGTGAGGTCTTGGGTGCTCTTAGGGCTAGGAGGCTTCTCCACCGCTCCTCCACCTTCAGGAAGTCGCCCTGCTGCGTCACCATACAGCATATCTTCCAGCTTTGACTCTGGCAGCTGCATCTGTTTGGTCACGTGACCCGCCTCATCAGCCTCCTCTGGACCCTGGGCTGGACCCCAGCCTCCTCTGCCTCCCCAGGCTCAGATATTCACCTGGAGGAGAAAGGACATGCCCCCCATGCACATCCCCAGCTACAGGCAGCTCGAGAGGCCCAGGTTCCAGGATAGCCATGTTACAGCGGAGGACGGGTTCTAGGATGGCCATGTTACAGCTGAGGATGCAGAGGCTGGGTGATGGAGTCCACTACAGCCACGCGGCGAGACAGGCGTCTCTGGACCCTCTCCCCAAGGTTGGCCCTGCTGGGGCCCTGGCTGGCTGGTGCTGGGTGGCGTGCCCTGTCCAGGAGCAGAGGCTGGCCTCCTGGAGTCCTGAGCTCAGGGCACCGGAAGTCCTGGCCCATGAAGGCAGCGGGCCAGGACAGACCAAGTCTTCTCCCCAGGTGGACCCCAAGCCCTTCTACGAGGCCTGCGTGCATGACTCGTACTCCTGTGTTTCACGGTGGGGACTGCGAGTGCTTCTGCTCTGCGTGGCCTCCTATGCCCAGGAGTGTGCAAGGAAGGGCGCCTGCGTGTTCTGGAGCATACAGACCTGTGCCGTAAGAGCCCGCTTGAACTGGACCAGAGACCAGGAGAAGTTAGAGTGCTGTATTGCGGGCCGGGCGGCCTCCTTGCCCATCCAGGTGACAGGCGTGCATCACCCCCACTTTCCCCGACTTCTCCAGTGTCCTTCTTTTGAGGTCCCTATGGGACCTGGGTTATGAAACAAGCTTGATACATCTGCGCCCCAGCCCCCACCCCAGATTCACCCTCACCCCGGCCCACGCCTGGGCAGGCCTCCTGCAGTCAGCCTGGCCCTGTCTCCCCCAAGCCGTATTCTGCGACTACTACAACCCTCCACATGAGTGTGAGTGGCACTGAGCCGTCGCGGAGCCGGGCTTGAGACCTGCAGGACCATCATGGCATCCTCCAACATCTCCGTGTCCTGCCTGGAGGGTGAGCAGAGGTGGGGCGGAGCCTCAGCAGGGTGTGCGGTGGCTGTGGGCGGGGCCACGGGCGGGGCAACTAGGCAGAGCAGGACTGTAGGTGGGCGGTGATTGTGGGCAGGGCCATGGGCGGGGCCGACTGTAGGCAGAGCAGGGCTGTAGGTGGGCGGTGACTGTGGGTGGGGACATGGGCGGGGCAACTAGGTAGACCAGGGCTGCAGGTGGGTTGCAGCTGTGGGTGGGGCCGACTAGGCATTGCAGGGCTATGGGCTGACTGTGGACGTGGTTAGGGTGCCGTAGAGCATGCTAATGATCAGGGCGTGGCCACAGCAGGGTGAGGTCTTGGGTGCTCTTGGGGCTGGGGGCTTCTCCACACGCTCCTCCACACCTTCAGGAGTCGCCCTGCTGCGTCACCATACAGCACTTGTCTTCCAGCTTTGACTCTGGCCGCTGCATCCTTTGGTCACGTGACCATATAATCAGCCTCCCCTCTGAGACCCTGGGCTGGACCCCCAGCCTCCCTCTGCCTCCCCAGGCTCAGATATTCACCTGGAGGGAGAAAGGACATGTGCCCCCCATGCCCACACATCCCCAGCTACAGGCAGCTAGGGAGGACGGGTTCCAGGATGGCCATGTTACAGCGGAGGACGGGTTCTAGGATGGCCATGTTACAGCTGAGGATGCAGAGGGCTGGGTGATGGGTCCGCACAGCCACGGCGGGACAGGCGTCTCTGGACCCTCTCCCCAAGGTTGGCCCTGCTGGGGCCCTGGCTGGCTGGTGCTGGGTGACGTGCCCTGTCCCAGGAGCAGGGCTGGCCTCTGGGTCCTGAGCTCCAGGGCACCGGGGAAGTCCTGGCCCCATGAAGGCAGCACGGGCCCAGGACAGACCAGGGTGTTCTCCCCAGGTGGACCCCAAGCCCTTCTACGAGGCCTGCGTGCATGACTCGTGCTCCTGTGACACGGGTGGGGACTGCGAGTGCTTCTGCTCTGCCGTGGCCTCCTATGCCCAGGAGTGTACCAAAGAGGGCGCCTGCGTGTTCTGGAGGACGCCAGACCTGTGCCGTAAGAGCCCGCCCGAACTGGACCCAGGGCCAGGAGGGGGATTGGAGGTGCTGTATTGCGGGCCGGGGCGGCACTCCTTGCCCATCCAGGTGACGGGCGTGCATCACCCCCCCTTTCCCCGACTTCTCCAGTGTCCTTCTTTGGGGCCCTATGGGACCTGGGTTGGCAGAGCAAGCTTGATACATCTGCGCCCCAGCCCCCCACCCCAGATTCACCCTCACCCCGGCCCACGCCTGAGCGAGCCCTCCTGCGTCTGACCCTGGCCCTGTCTCCCCCAAGCCGTATTCTGCGACTACTACAACCCTCCACATGAGTGTGAGTGGCACTATGAGCCGTGTGGGAACCGGAGCTTCGAGACCTGCAGGACCATCAACGGCATCCACTCCAACATCTCCGTGTCCTACCTGGAGGGTGAGCAGGGTGGGGCGGGCCTCAGCAGGGGTGACGGCTGAGGGGCCTGGAGGGTGAACCGGGCGGCCCTCGGGAGAGTCAACAGCCAATGGGCCTGGCTGTGTGGGGCTGAAGGCTGATGTTGTCTGGAGACTCATGGAGACACCCGGAGGGAGGCCTGACCCTCAGGGCACCCACACCCCAGGGTGGCCAGGCTCCTCTTGCTGCAGGGTCAGGAGGGAAGCAGGCTGGCATGAAAACTGGGAGTGGCAGGGGTGGGAGGTGCTGAGGTTTGTACAGAGCAGGGCGGGTTGTGGAGCATTTCAGGCACAGGTCAGGGGAGGCCCCTCTGGGTGCTGGCGTCTGAGCTGAGAACCAGTGACATGAAGGAGGGACTGGTAGGAAGTTTGGGAGGGAGTATCCCGCCATGGGAGAGGAACATGGGTCTTGGGACTCAGGGCTGCTCAGGGGCCCGATTAGACTGGGCAGGGCTCCTCAGCGGGCATCGTTCAGAGCCCAGTGGGGTGGGGAGATCCAGGCCCTGCCTTTCCAGTCCCTGGCGTTCCCAGAGGGGCATCCTCTGGAGAAAGACCTGCTGGGGTAGGGATGGTGGGTGGGGTGTGGTGGATTGTGGTGGTCCCAACCCCATGCCCTGTGTCCACCAGGCTGCTATCCCCGGTGCCCCAAGGACAGGCCCATCTATGACGAGGACGGGAAGAAGTGTGTCACTGCAGACAAGTGTGGCTGCTACATCGAGGACACCCACTACCCACCTGGAGTGTCGGTTCCCACTGAGGAGATCTGCAAGTCTTGGTATCTAAGCCCACGTGGCAGGGGACCTGGAGGAGCTGCACATATGGGCACATGAGTACACACACATGTGTGAGCACACAGTGAACACAATACATGGACACACAGCCATTCCACATGGGTGCACATGCACACAAATGCACACAGCATACCACGTGCACACACAGTCACATGCACAATGCACACATGCACCCATGAATGGACGCTGACACACAGGCACACTCAGTCACACATGCACACAGTGCACACATGTGTACATGTCTAGATACAGATACGCGGGCACACACACAGTCACACATGCACACATGCATGGACACAGACTTGCAGGCACACGGTCACATGTACACACATGCACACATGCACAGACACATGCAGGCACACATAGTCACACTTGCACATAGTGCACACATGTACACATGCCTGGAAACAGATACCCAGGTACACAATCACACATGAGCACACACAGTCATACATGAACATAGGCACACATACATACACTCAGTTACACCATGCACACGTGTACACACAGTCACAGATGCACACATGCTTGGACACAGACATGCAGGTACACAGTCACATGTACACACAAGCACGCATGCACAGACACATGCAGGCACACACAGTCACACTTGCACATAGTGCACACATGCATGGACACTGACACGCAGGCACAGTCACACATGCACACATGCTCACATGCATGGACAGTGACACGTACACACAGTCACACATGCACACATGCACTCAGTCACACATGCACACATGCCTAGACACAGATACCCAGGCAGACACGGTTACACAGTCACACATGCACGCATGCATGGATGCAGACACGCAGGCACACACGGTCACGCGGTCATACAAAGCACCACATGCACACAGTGCACACATGCACACATGCAAAGATACAGACACCCAGGCACACACTCAGTTACACAGTCACACAGGCACACATGCATGGACACAGAGGCACACACAGTCACACAGTCATGCATGCACACAGGAGCCAGGCCACAGAGGCACCAGTCCCTCACTGGGGTGGGGGGTCTTCTGTTCTCATACCGTCCTCTGGGTCTGGCTTTTTCCTTCCTCTCCTCACCCCTGCTCTGTTCCCACAGTTAGAACCCAATGGGGGACTCTTCCAGAGCTGGCTTTGGGGCAGTGCCTGGGGGCTTTGGGCTCGGTACTAGCCACATGGGAAGTTGGGGGGACTTGTAGCTGGGGGGACTCAGTGGAGTGTGACTTGTAGCCATGTGCTTGCTTTGCAGCGTGTGCACCAACTCCTCCCAAGTCATCTGCAGGCCAAAGGAAGGTGAGTTGCCCTCTGCTGCCAGCCCTGCGGTGGCCGGGCCCATCCTGGGGAAGCCTGTGGGGGCTTGGATGGGTGGGGGTGCTGCTTCCCTCCTGGGTTCTACCCTTTGGTCCCCCCAAGCTCAGACCCACCTCCGATGTGTATCAGTCCTGGGGGGCTGCCGTGACGCATCTTGTTTCTTCTCCTGGGGTGCCGGTCTCCTGTGGGGAATTTCCATCACCCTCTCCCCCGATCCAGCTTCTGCGTTCTGGCAAGATTCCCTTTATTCAAAGAGAGGGGCTCCGGGACAGGTGTAGTCTCACTGGAGCGTTTGTTGGCTGCTTGTGGGGGCTCAGGCACACCTGGCCTTCCCCCTACCTTGCTCCCAATGAGGTGATTCTTGGCCTCACCCTCACCTCCAGGAGAGATTCTCAACCGGACCCAGGATGGCGTCTTCTGCTACTGGGAGTTCTGTGGCCCCAATGGGACGGTGGAAAAGTACTTCAACATCTGTTCCACTACACCACTCCCGTCCACTCTGACCACCTTCACCACCGTCACCCTCCCCACCACCCCCACCACCTTCACCACCACCACCACCACCACCACCCCAACCTCCAGCACAGGTAAGGCCCCTGGTTCCCCCTGTGCTTCCTCAGGCTCTTACCTTCCCCTGCATCCAGCATCCAACACACAGGGCTCTTTCAGGGGCAGGCCCTGGCCCACTGCAGCCAGGCTCTGACCTCTGCACACCAGCTGCAGAGTGAGGTGAACGGTGACATTCCTCTGCACTGAGGTGTGAGGGGCGTGCCCTGGCTCCCCTGCCCTGGTGCATTCAGATGGTAGCATACTGACCACATCCCCAAGCCCAAACCAGAGTGGAGGATCATCTGGGGAGATTTCTGAAAACCAGCAGGAAAGTATCCCTAAGGGTTAGAGAAATTTTCTTACGTTCGCCTGCGTTTGTTCTGGTTGAAATCCTAGCTACCACCGAACAAGCCACCAGGGGTATGATAGCCACAGAAAAAAGAAACTTTAAAAAAGTAAGACAAGATTTTAAAAAATCTTGAACTATATAATGATATCCTCTTTTCTTCCTGCTTTATTGCAGTTTTATCAACAACTCCGGGTAAGTGACGGTGATGATATTCACGACGACAAGCAGGGTGGGAGGAGTGAAGTCTCATAAAATCACCCGCAGGATGCTTCCTTCAGGGCCCAGATGTGAGGCTGGTAGGGCAAGACTCCTCTGCTTACGGACCAAAGATAGGTGTATTTTGGTGACTTCATTCATGGTTTGCTGAGGCCAGGGCCTAAAGTGAGACCTGATTGGCTGTTGGTGACAATATTGCTGGTTAAGAGTGGAGACAAAGCCCCTTCTGGCACACTTCTTTATTGGAACAGGCAGCTTTCTTATTATTGATTCTTTGCAAAAAGTATTGAAAATAGCTGAGGAAAGGGTCCTTCATACGCTGGGTGGCCCTGTCTCTTTGGGCTTAGGTTTTCACTTGCAAAATGAGGATGGAAGTGGTGTCCAACCCTGAGCTCTCTGAGCCTGCACTCTGGTTTTCTGGCAATGACACGGAAAAGAGAGATTGCATCTGGGGCACGGTCATGGAGGCCCCTGGGTTCTCTGAATCCTGGTGGCCTCCTGGAGGTGCCTCTCCCCAGGTGCGAGTGACAAGAGCTGGGTTTTGCTTCCCTAGAGGTGTGCTGCTTCTGGTCTGACTGGATCAACGAGGACCACCCCAGCAGTGGCAGCGACGGCGGTGACCGAGAGACATTTGATGGGGTCTGCAGGGCCCCTGAGGACATCGAGTGCAGGTCGGTCAAGGATCCTCACCTCAGCTTGCAGGAGCTAGGCCAGAAGGTGCAGTGCGATGTCTCTGTTGGGTTCATTTGCAAGAATGAAGACCAGTTTGAAAATGGACCATTTGGACTGTGTTACGACTACATGATACGTGTCAATTGTTGCCTGCCCATGGCTTGTACCACCACTGCTCCACCAACCACCACTCCCAGCCCCCCCAACAACCACCACAACCACCCCTCCACCAACCACCACTCCCAGCCCTCCATGTCTCTGTTGGGTTCATTTGCAAGAATGAAGACCATTGAAAATGGACCATTTGGACTGTGGCAGCATACATTACATGATACGTGGTGAGCCAATTGTTGCCTGCCCATGGCTTGTACCACCACTGCTCCACCAACCACCACTCCCAGCCCCCCAACAACCACCACAACCACCCCTCCACCAACCACCACTCCCAGCCCTCCAACAACCACCACTCCCAGCCCCCCACCAACCACCACAACCACCCTTCCGCCAACCACCACTCCCAGCTCCTCAACAACCACCACAACCACCCCTCTCCTCCACTAACCACCACTACCAGCCCCAACAACCCACCACAGCTACCCCTCCACCAACCACCACTCCCAGCCTCCACCAACCACCACAACCACCTCCACCAACCACCACTCCCAGCCCTCCAATAACCACAACCACCCCTTCACCAACCACCACTCCCAGCCCTCCAACAACCACCACTCCCAGCCCTCTACCAACCACCACTCCCATCCCTCCAACAACTACTCCTCTCTCTCCATCAATAACTCCTTCTACATTTTCACCATTCTCAACGACAACCCCTACTACCCCATGCGTGCCTGTCTGCAATTGGACTGGCTGGCTGGATTCTGGAAAACCTGACTTTAACAAACCAGGTGGAGATACAGAATTGATTGGAGACATCTGTGAACCAGGATGGGCAGCTAACATCTCTTGCAGAGCCACCATGCATCCTGATGTTTCCATTGGACAGCTTGGACAAACAGTGGTGTGTGACGTCTCTGTGGGGCTAGTATGCAAAAATGAAGACCAAAAGCCAGGTGGGGTCATTCCTGTAGCCTTCTGCCTCAACTATGAGATCAGCGTTCAGTCCTTAACATGGGTGTGTCACCCAACCCACGACCATGACAACCACCACCACAGAGACTCCAACCTCAACACCCACCACAACCATCACCACCACAGGACTGCAGCTCTGACCTCACCACCACAAGGACTCTGACCCCAACACCCATCACCACCACCACTACAGTGACCCCAACCCCGACCATCCCCACACCACTTCGGTGACATCAACCCCAAGCAGCCCACTGGCACAGGACACCAGCCCCGGCCACCGATTAAGCCACCACCACCATGGTGACCCCAACCCCAGCACCCACCAGCACGGACCCCAACCCCGACCACCATCACCACCACAATACATGTGACACCAACCCCAAGCACCCACCAGCACACAGACCCCAACCTGCGACACCCATCACCACCACCACCATGGGGTGACAGCCATTTAAGCACCCACCAGCACACAATTGTGACACCCATCCACCACCACCACCGACAGCGACACCAGCCCCAGCACCCACCAGCACACGGACCCCAAGCCCGACCACCCACCATTTGGACCCCAACCACTCCACCAGCACCTATCACCACCACTGCTGGTGATAACCACAGCACCCACCACCACCACGGGACCCTGACCCCAACCACCACTACTACTACAGTGACACCAGCCCTGACACCTACAAGCCACAGGACCCCAACCCCAGCACCTACCAACACAGTGGGCCACCAACCCCAAGCACCCACCAGACCCAGACACCAACCGACACCCATCACCACCACCACCACAACACCAACCCCAGCACCCACCAGCACGGACCCCAGCCTCGACCCACCCATCACCACCACCACCATGACAGCGACACCAGCTCCAGCACCCACAATTTTCAGACCCCAACCCCGACACCCACCAGCACACAGACCCAACCACTCCACCAACACCTATCACCACCACCACTACAGTGACCCCAACCACAACACCCACCACCACCACACAGGACCCCAGCCCCAGCACACCACTGCCACTACCGTTGACGCAAGCCCGACACCTACAACCACAGTGACACCAACCCCAGCACCCACCAGCACACGGACCCAACCTGGGCACCCATCACTGCCACCACCACAACAGCGACACCAACCCAAACACCCACCAGCACACACAGACCCAACCCCAGCACCCACCAGCCACGGACCCAGCCACTCACAACACCTATCCCCACCACCCACTACGAGGTGACCCCAACCACAACACCCACCATCACCACAGGACCCCAACACCCAACACCCACCACCACCACTGCAGTGACCACCAGCCCCAACACCTACCAACACAGTGACCTGTGAGCACCCACCAACACACAGACCCAACCTCAACACCCCATCACCACCACCGACAGGCGACACCAGCTAACACCCACCAGCACACAGACCCCCACCCGGCCACCCACAGCACACAGACCCCAACCACTCCACCAACACCTATCACCACCACCACTATAGTGACCCCAACCCGACACCCATCACCACCACCACCTACAGGACCCCAAACCAAACACCCACCACTACCACTACAGGTGACGCAACCCCAGCACCACCTGACCACAGAGGACCCCAGCCCCAGCACCTACCAACACAGTGACTGCTTATAACACCCACCAGCACGGACCCCAACCCGTACCCCATCACCACCACCACCGGCCAATAGCACCAACCCCAACACCCACCGGCACACGGACCCAGGCCTCCACACCCATCCCACCACCACCACCACGACAGGGACACCAAGCTCCCAGCACCCACCAGCACACAGACCCCAGCCTCGACACCCATCACCACCACCACACCCGGCAGCGACACCAACCCCAAGCACCCACCAGCACACAGACCCCAACTCCGACACCCACCAGCACACAGACCCCAACCACTCCACCAACCCCTATCACCACCACCACTACAGTGACTCCAACCACAACACCCACCACCACCACCACAGGACCCAACCCCAACACCCACCACCACCCTGCAATTGACACCAACCCCAACACCTAACACAGTGAGCCACCAACCCCAACACCCACCAGCCACACAGACCCCAACCTCGAGCACCCATCACCACCACCACCACGACAGAGCACCAACCCCAACACCCACCAGCACACCAGACCCCAGCCGACACCCATCCACCACCACCACCGACAGCAGCACCAACCCCAGCACCCACCAGAACACAGACCTCAACCTCGACACCCATCACCACCACCACCGACCCAGCCCACGACACCAACTGACACCCAGCAGCACACAGACCCCAACCTCGACACCCACCAGCACCTGGACCCCAGCCACTCCACCAGCACCTATCACCACCACCACTACAATTGACTCCAACCCTGGCTTACCACCACCACCACCACAAGGACCCCAACCCCAACACCCACCACCACCACACTACAGGTGACATAAGCGCCAACCCACCTAACACAATTGACACCAACCCCAACACCCACCAGCCTGGACCACAACCTCGACACCCATCACCACCACCACCGGCCTTTCAACCCCAGCACCCAGGGCCTGGACCCCAGCCACTCCCACCCAGCACCTCCTCACCACCACCACTACAGTGACCTGACCACAACACCAGCCACCACCACCACGGGGACCCACAACCCCAGCACCCACCTGCCACTGCAATTGTGACACCAACCGACACCGCCACAGGACCCACAGCCCCAGCACCTGCCAACCTGGTGGCCACCAACATAACACCTGACACCCAGACCCCAGCCCGACAGCCATCACCACCACCACCAGGCAGCAACACCAAACACAACACCCACCAGCACACAGACCCCAGCCCCGACACCATCACCACCACCACGACAGGGACACCAACCCCAACACCCACCACCACGGACCCCAGCCTCGGCTCACCACCCCACCACCACCACGACCCAGGCGACACCAGCCCCAACCCACCCACCAGCACACAGACCCCAACCTCGACCACCCATCACCACCACCAAAACAGCTGAAGCCCAGCACCCCACCCAGCACCTGGACCCCAGCCGACCACCCACCATGCACAGACCCCAACCACTCCACCAGCACCTATCACCACCACCACTACAGTGACCCCAACCACAACACCACCACCACCACCACAGGACCCCAACCCAAACCACCCACCACTACCACTACAGTGACACCAACCCCGACACCTACAACCACAGGACCCAACGCCAACACCTACCAACACAGTGACACCAACCCCAACACCCACCAACCCCGGACCCCAGCTGACACCAATCCACCACCACCACCACTGGCGGCAGCACCAGCCCCAACACCCACCAGCACAGACTCAACCACCGACACCCCATCACCACCACCACGACAGGGACACCAACCCCAACACCCACCAGCACACAGACCCCAACCTCGACACCCATCACCACCACCACCGACAGACCCACCAACCTGGCACCCCGCAGCACACGGACCCAGCCTCACCCATCACCACCACCACAACAGCGACCACCAAGCCCCAGCACCCACCAGCACACAGACCCCAACCTCGACACCCACCAGCACACGGACCCAACTCACTCCACCAGCACCTATCACCACCACCACTACGGTGACTCAACCTGACACCCACCACCACACCACCACAGGACCCCAACCCCCCAGCACCACCACCACCACTGCAGGTGACACCTTCCAACACCTAACTGATGACACCAACCCCAACACCACCACCACACAGACCCCAACCTCGGCACCCATCACCACCACCACCAGACAGAAGAACTCCAGCCCCAGCACCCGCAGCACACGGACCCCAACCCCGACACCCATCACCACCACCACCGGCAGCAACCTCCAACCCCAACACCCACCGGAACCCACAGACCTCAACCTGCGACACCCATCACCACCACCACCACGACAAGCGACATAACCCCAACCGCCCAGCCCCAGCACACAGACCCCAGCCACTCCACCAACACACTATCACCACCACCACTACAGTGACCCCAAGCCACAACACCCACCACCACCACCAGGACTAGCCCCAACTTTACCCACCTGCCACTGCAATGACTGTAACCCCGACACACAACCACGAGACCCCAACCCCAACACCCAGCAGCACACAGACCCCAACCACTCCACCAGCACACTATCACCACCACCACTACAGTGACCCCAACCACAACACCACCCACCACCACCACGGGGACCCCCAGCCCCAACACCCACCACTACCACTACAGTGACTGCTTGACACCCACAACCACAGGACCCAACCCCAACACCTGCAGCACAGTGACACCAGCCCAACACCTGGCACCCAGACCCCAACCCGACAAGCCATCCACCCACCACCACCACGACAGCGACATAACCCCAACACCTGACACACGGACCCCAGCCCCGACCTCCATCCACCACAACCCGATGACACCAACTCCAACACCCACCAGCACAGGACCCCAACCTCGACACACCCCATCACCACCACCACCACGACAGCACGACCCTGCCAACCCCAAAACACCCACCAGCACAGACCCCAACCCCGACACCCACCAGCACACAATTTAACCACTCCGCAACACCTATCACCACCACCACTACAGGTGACCCCAGCCACAACACCCACCACCCACCACCACCCAGGACCCCAACCCCAACACCCCACCACTACCACTACGGTGACGCAACCCCGACACCTACAACCACAGGACCCCAAGCGCCAGCACCTACCAACACAGTGACACCAACCCCAACACCCCACCAGCCCGGACCCCAGCTTCAACACCAATCACCACCACCACCACCATTTGACAACACCAACCCCAACACCCACCAGCACACAGACTCCAACCCCGACACCCATCACCACCACCACGACAGGGACACCAACCCCAACGCACCTGTACACAGACTAACCTTGACACCCCATCACCACCACCACCACGACAGACACCAGCCCCAACACCACCAGCACACAGACCCCACAGCCTCGACCACCCATCCACCACCACAACAGGCACCAGACCCAGCACCCACCAGCACACAGACCCAACCCCGACACCCATCACCACCACCCACGGCCAATTGACACAAACCCCAACACCACCAGCTCAGACCCCAGCCTCGACCACCCCATCACCACCACCACCACGAGCAAGCGGCACCAGCCCCAGCACCCACCAGCACACAGGCGCCAGCCTCGACACCATCCACCACCACCTGACAGGGACACCAACCCCAAGCACCACCAGCCACACACGGACCAACCTTGACACCCATCACCACACCACCAGAGCCAGACACCAGCCCCAGCACCCACCCAGCCACTGGACCCCAACCTCGACCCCCATCACCACCACCACAAGCAGCTGACCACCGAACCCAACACCCACCAGCACACGAGACCCCCAACCCGACACCATCACCACCACCACGACGAGTGACACCAGCCCAACACCCACCAGCACACAGACCCCAGCCTCGACACCCATCACCACCACCACCACAACAGCGACAGCACCAACCCCAACACCCACCAGCACACAGACCCCAACCCCGACATCCATCACCACCACCACCACGACAGCGACACCAACCCCAACACCCACCAGCACACAGACCCCAACCTCGACACCCATCACCACCACCACAACAGACACCAAGTTCAACACCCACCAGCACACAGACCCCAACCCCGACACCCATCACCACCACCACCCGACAGGTGACACCAACTAACACCCACCAGCACACAGACCCCAACCTCGGCTACCCATCCACCACCACCACCACGACCGTGACCCACCAGCCCCAACACCCACCAGCTTTGGACCCCAGCCCCGACATCCATCACCACACCACCATGACAGCGACCGCAACCCCAACACCCACCCAGCACACAGACCCCAACCTCGACCTTACATCACCACCACTACTGTTCAACCCCAACACACCAGCACACAGACCCCAACCCACGACACCCACCAGCCACGGACCCCAACCATCACCAGCACCTATCACCACCACCACTACGGTGACTAACCACATACCCACCACCACCACCACCACAGGACCCCAACCCCCAGCACACACCACTGCAGTGGCGCAGCCTTCCAACACCTACCAACCACAGTGGCCACCAACCCCAGCACCACCAGCACACGGATCCCAACCTCAGCACCCATCACCACCACCACCGACCAGACACCAACCCCAGCACCCACCAGCACACGGACCACAACCTCAGCACCCCATCACCACCACCACCGCGACCTTCCAGCCCCAACACCCACCAGTACACGGACCCCAGCCCCGACATCCATCGCCACCAGTACCGCACGGTGACCCCAACCCCAACACCCACCAGCACGGACCCCAGCCCCGACCGCCCACCAGCACACGGACCCCAACCACTCCACCAGCACCTATCACCACCACCACCACAGGTGACCCAACCACAACACCACCACCACCACCACAGGACCCAACCCCAGCACACCCACCACCACCACTACAGTGACACCAACCCCGACACCTACAACCACAGGACCCAAACTGACACCCACCCAGCACAGGACACCAGCCCCAGCACCCGCAGCCACACGGACCCCAACCCCCTACACCCATCACCAGCACCACCACACGACGTGACACCAGCCCCCAGCACCCACCAGCCCTGGACCCCAGCCGACACCCATCACCACCACCACCGACCTTGGGGACACCAACCCCAACACCCACCAGCACACAGACCCCAAGCCCGACACCCATCACCACCACCACCACGACAGGGACACCAACCCCAACACCCACCAGCACACAGACCCCAACCCCGACACCCATCACCACCACCACCACGACAGCGACACCAACCCCAACACCCACCAGCACACAGACCCCACCTCGACACCCATCACCACCACCACCACGACAGCAACCCCAACACCCACCAGCACACAGACCCCAACCTCGACACCATTACCACCACCACACCATGACAAGCGACACCAACCCCAACACCCACCAGCACAGACCCCAACCCCGACCACCCATCACCCACCACCACCTGACAATGACACCAGCCCCAGCACCCACCATTTTACGGACCCCAACCCCAACATCCATCACCACCACTACCACGAGGGTGACCCCAACACCAACACCACTTCAGCACCCGGGACCCCAACCGACACCCATCACCACCACCACCACTGACGGTGACTCTACCCTCAAGGCTCCCACCTTTACAGACCCCCACCCGGCACCCATCACCACCACCACCACGACAGTGACTCAGCCCTGCTTACCCACCGAGCACACGGACCCCCACCAACACCCATCCCTGCCAGCACCACCACGTTGGCTGACCTCAGCCCCAGCACCAGCCAGCACACCAGACCCCAACCTTGACACCCATTACCACCACCCGCGACAGCGACACCAGCCCCAACACCCACCGGCCTGGACCACAACCCAGGCACCATCACCACCACCACAACAACAGTGACCCACAACCACAACACCCACCAGCACACGGACCCCACCCCAACGCATCACCCAGCACCACCGACAGCATACCAACCCCCAACACCCACCTTTTGGACCACAACCTCGACACCCATTACCACCACCACCACGTGTGACACCAGCCCCAGCACCCACTGGCACCTGGACCCCAACCCCGACACCCATCACCACACCACAACAGTGACCCCAACCCCAACTCCCACCAGCACACAGACCCCAACCCCGACACCCATCACCTCCACCACCACGACAGCGACACCAACCCCAACACCCACCAGCACTGGACTAGCCCCGACACCCATCACCACCACCACCACGACAATGACACCAACCCCAACACCCACGTACGGACCCCAACCCCAACATCCATCCACCACCACTACCACGGTGACCCCAAGCACAACACCACCAGCACCCAGACCCCAACCCCGACGCATCACCACCACCACCGACGGTGACTCCTGCCCACAACACCCACGAGCACACGGATAACCCGACACCCATCACCACCACCACAACAACCCAGGTGACCCCAACCACAACACCCCACCAGCACACGGACCCCACCCCAATGCCCATCCACCAGCACCACCACGACAGACACCAGCCCCAACACCCACCAGCACACACAGACTAGCCTTGACACCATTACCACCACCGACAACGACACCAGCTCCAACACCCACCGACACACGGACCCCAACCCTGACACCCATCACACCACCACAACCTTGAGTGACCCCAACCACAGCACCCACCACGTGCCACAGACCCCCACCCAACACCCATCACCCAGCACCTACCAGTGGCTGACACCAACCCCAAGCACCACCAAGCACCACGGACTAGCCTCGACACCCATTACCACCACCACCACGACAAGCGACACCCAGCCCCAACACCCCACCGGCCACGGACTAGCCCTGACACCCATCACCACCACCACAACAGTGACCCCAGCCCCAACACCCACCAGCACACAGACCCCAACCCCCGACACCCATCACCACCACCACAACAGTGACCCCAACCCCAACACCCACCAGCACACAGACCCCAACTCCAGACACCCCATCACCACCACCACTGCAGTGACCCCAACCCCAACATCTACTGCTTACACAGACCCCAACCCCGACACCCACATCACCACCACCACTGCGATGACGTCAACCTCAGCACCTCACCACCACAAGCATGAGACCCCCACCAGCACACAGACCCCAACCCCGACACCCATCACCACCACCACTACGATGACGTCAACCTCAACACCTACCACTACAAGCATGGAGACCCCCAACCCCACAAGCACAGCACCCATTTCTGAGTCAACCACATCCAAACCCCCACCTGAGTCCTCAACCCCTCAGATATCTCGGTCCACCTCTTCCCCTCCCACGGAGTCAACCACCCTTTTGAGTACTGCACCACCTACCATTGAGACAACCAGCACGGCCCCACCCTCCACACCCACGTCACCTACAGCCACCACGACGGGAGGCCACACGCCGTCTCCACTGCCCAGCACCACCATGGCCCCTCCAGGTAAGCAGAACTGCTCAGTTCCTCCAGCCTGGGATGCTTCCTCCTCCCCTTCAGCCAGACAGGACTGTCCCAGGAAGGCTCAAGGCAGGGTCTGGGCATCTCTCTGCCCACCAAGCATGGTTACTGTGTGGCAGGAGCTGCTGACACTGTCCAGTGATGGGCAGTGAAGCCAAAGGCCACCCCGCTGCTTGCCCATATGACGGCCTTCTTAGAAGTCACTGACACCAGCCAGTGCTGGGCAGTGGAGTCAAAGGCCACCCCGCTCGCCCATGGGACAGCCTTCTTCAGGGGCCCACTGCTGTGTGATGTGGTGCTGTGGGAGCCCACCAAGGCTGGGGGGCAGAGAGAGGCTGCCAGTGAGGTGCCTGCAGGTCCTCCTGCTTCTGGCTGTACCCCCTCCTCGGGGCCTCTTTCCGGCAGATGGCGTGCCACAGCCAGTGCCTTCTGTACAACTCTTGCTGGCAGTCAGCTTGGCCAGCAAGCTGTGTTGCTGCTGGAGCACCAGGTCATCTACGGGCTCTTGTGACACTCGGCTGTGGTGATGCTGGCCCTGTCGCTCCACCCTGCCTGGTGACTCAGAACCTGGGAGGTGGGCGCGAGGCCCTGGTCCTCCAGTTCTGCCACCCAGTCGGCTGTCTGGCCCCCCTGCAGCTGGGGAGTGGCGGTTGGGACCCTGCAGTGTCTGAGATGCGCAATGTCTCAGCCCTCACTGGTGTCTCCTGCTCTCACAGGCACCCCCACTCACAGTACCACGACCGGGTCATCTTCACCCACCACCCCCAGCACTGTGCAGACGACCACCACCAGCGCCTGGACCCCCACGCCGACCCCAATCTCCACACTCAGCGTCATCACGACCACAAGCGTGACGCCGCACTTCTCCACCCTGATTAAATGCTGTGTCCTGAACGACACTTTCTACGCACCAGGTGCTCAGGCTGTTCACATCCTGGGCTCGGGCAGCCGAGGCTGGTTTTGGTCCCGGCATGTACCGGTGCTCAGGCGCCAGGGCTGAGATCGCTGTGGGAGCATCTCAGGAGGTGGCAGCTGTCGAGGGTGGCTGTGTCCAGGGCATAGCTTCCCTTGGGTGGCCTCTGTGGGGACCTCCATGCAGTCCAGCGGCTAGCCCTGCCTCCGGGCGGTGTGGTCATGGGTCTGTCTCCCTTTGCAGGTGAGGTGGTGTACAACGGCACACATGGAGACACCTGCTATTTCGTGAACTGCTCACTGAGCTGTACCTTGGAGTTCTATAACTGGTCCTGCCCATCCACGCCCTCCCCAACGCCCACCCCCTCCAAGTCGACGCCCACGTCTTCCAAGCCATCGCCCACGCCCTCCAAGCCAACGCCCAGCACCACCAAGCCCCCTGCGTGCCCAGACTTTGATCCTCCCAGACAGGTCAGTGGGCTGCAGGTGGCTTTGTCCCCACAGCACTGAGTGCGGCATATCCGGGCACCCAAGGCCCCAGGCACCACTTCCTGCTGGTCGTCTGAGGGCTGAGGCCTCCTGCAGCCCCTTGGGTGCGGTGTCTGCCAAGCCCTCCACCTTTTCACTGTGCCCTGCCGCGCCCCGCCGTGCCTGGCAAGGTGGCTGGCTGCAGTGAGGTCCTTGGAAGCCACCTCGGCCTCCAGCCTCCTGGCTCAGTACCCGCCCCTCCTGAGCACAGACCACCCCGTCTGGTGCCGGTCTCACTGACCGCCCCTTGCCTCCTGTCCCCAGGAGAACGAGACTTGGTGGCTGTGCGACTGCTTCATGGCCACGTGCAAGTACAACAACACGGTGGAGATTGTGAAGGTGGAGTGTGAGCCGCCGCCCATGCCCACCTGCTCCAACGGCCTCACCCCCGTGCGCGTCAGCGACCCTGACGGCTGCTGCTGGCATTGGGAGTGCGACTGTGAGTCCCGGGCCCCCAGGCCCTCCCCGCATCTCCTGCCCTCTCCGTGGGTGAGGGCTGCAGGGCCCATCTCCCAGGGGCAGAAGGGTTGAGGCTCCTTGGGCACAGACCCCACTGCGGTGTTCACTGAGGCTGGGTGACTTCTGAGGGTCTCCTCAGCCCTGCTTTTGCCTCATTGGTGGGGAGGGCCTGGGTAGGTGGAGGGCTTGCCTGGTGGAGTTAGGGCCCCTCCCTGGGACAAGGGCGCTTCTGAGGCGAGAGGGGGCTGAGTTGAGGTTTGAACCCTGGTCCGTCCTGCAGAACGGGCTGCTGTGGGTGCACCAGGGCCAGTGCAGCTCAGACGTCCCCGAGCCCACGCACAGGAGCGGGGTTTTCAGGCCCCAGCTTCCTGCTGGCTCTTCCTGACTGTGCCCCGGCCCAGCTCTTGCACCCGACCCCGGCTGAGGGGCACAGGCGGCACGGCTCACTCTGGCTCCCTCGCAGGCTACTGCACGGGCTGGGGGGACCCGCACTATGTCACCTTCGACGGACTGTACTACAGCTACCAGGGCAACTGCACCTACGTGCTGGTGGAGGAGATCAGCCCGTCCGTGGACAACTTCGGAGTTTACATCGATAACTACCACTGTGACCCCAACGACAAGGTGTCCTGCCCCCGCACCCTCATCGTGCGCCACGAGACCCAGGAGGTGCTGATCAAGACCGTGCACATGATGCCCATGGAGGTTCAGGTAGGCACAGCGTGGCCACGGGAGGCTGGCACGGAGGTGGGCGCTGACATGGGCCCCAATGCAGCCCGGTTCCCCAGGGGCCAGAGGACTGGGCTGCGGGGGTGCCCAGGCACAGCCTCTCCCAGAACCAGGCTGGAAGGTGGGATGGGGTGGGCGCCTGGCTCCAGGACCCATCAGCTCTGCCCTCCAGGTGCATCCTGGGCCCCTCAAGCCCTGACACGCATGCCACACTGGGCACAGTCTCTACAGCAGAAGCTGCCTCCTGAGGACAGAGGGACAGGGCTCTGCACACCCTTGACTGAGACGCCCCTAGTTGCAAGGGAGTTATTGGTTCTGAGGCTCAGGAGGCCCCAGGAGCCTGCGCGGGGCTCCACAGTCCCCAGGTGCTCCCAGGAGAGCTCCTTCACTGGCTCACCCATGGGACCGGGGTCTGGTTAGGAGCAGCGGAGTAGGAGCAGGAAAGGGGGCAGAAAAGGGGGGTAGGCAGGGCCCTCTCCCTGCATGTGTAGGTCAGAGAGCAGGCGGGGTGGGGCAGCCCTGGAGCTCTCCCAAGGAGAGGACTGAGGCAGCTCCGCGGTGTGTCGGCCGCAGGTGCAGGTGAACAGGCAGGCGGTGGCAGTGCCCTACAAGAAGTACGGGCTGGAGGTGTCCAAGTCTGGCATCAACTACGTGGTGGACATCCCCAAGCTGGGCGTCCTCGTCTCCTACAATGGCCTGTCCTTCTCCGTCAGGCTACCCTACCACCGGTTTGGCAACAACACCAAGGGCCAGTGTGGTGAGTTCCGTGGCCCCCATGGCTCCCGAGGCCCCCCAAGGCCCCCACAGCTCCCGTTACCCCCCTGTCCTACCCCAGGGCGGGCGGCTGGACCAGGCTGAGGCTGAGGCTGTGTGTAAACACCCACAGGCCTGCTGTGGGCCTCTTGCCTCTCTGCTCGGGGGTGCTGTGGCCATCACCCGGGTTCAGTCCCTGTGAGGAGCCAACAGGAAGGGGCCTAGTCTCTGCCCTTGACCCCAGCTGGCCGGTCCTGGGCATCTGGGCTGGAGAAGGGCAGGGCTTGCCCTGTCTGCAACATGGCCTCTCTCACTGATACAGGCACCTGCACCAACACCACCTCTGACGACTGCATTCTGCCCAGCGGGGAGATCGTCTCCAGCTGTGAGGCTGCAGCCGACCAGTGGATAGTGAACGACCCCTCCAAGCCACACTGCCCCCACAGCAGCTCCACGACCAAGCGCCCGCCCGTCACTGTGCCCGGGGGCAACAAAACGACCCCACACAAGGGCTGCACCCCATCTCCCCTCTGCCAGCTCATCAAGGACAGGTGACCCTGCCCGGGCCTGCCTGCGGCCGTGACACCAACAAGCTGAGGGCCTCTGTGCCCCAGCCCCCAGCTCTTGCAAAGAGGAAGGAAGCAGTGCATGGGGCCTGGCACTGGGGCTGGGAAGGCAGGAGGCCACGGAACCAGGGCCAGGAGCTAGGTCGCCGTGGTGTCCAGGACCCGGGTCGTTGGGTTCCACAGGGCGAAGCTGCCATGTCTGGCATGCCTGCGCCTTTACTGAACTCCATACTCTCCCGGCTCCTGGGAAGGTGCAGGGCTGGCCGAGTGTGAGACTCAGAGTAGACCAGTCAACCCAGGACAGAGCTCAGGGCTGATATTGGGAGGCAGATTTGGGCTTTGACAGAGGGGGGTGCTTCTAATCTGGCAGCCATGGGGTTCAGCACCCCGTCCCTGGAAGTATAGGGGCCAAGTACAGGCTGGGTGTCCGTCTGCCACGGTTGTTGGAGGGGCTCCTGAAGCTGATGACCACATAGACGTGGCTTCTATCTGGGAGCCGGGCTGCAGAGCCACCTTGCTCGCCCATCCCTTGGTCTGTCCCTGACCCGTCCCCCGGCTGGCCTGTCCCTTGACCCTCTGTCGGCCACAGACGCCTCTCTGGTGGGTGCCGGACTCCAGGAGGACGGTCCGGGCAGAGATGCTGGGGTAGGGAGTGGGCGAGAGGCAGCTGCCACCTGAGTGTGACCTGTGCCTCTCCCTGCGCAGCCTGTTTGCCCAGTGCCACGCGCTGGTGCCCCCACAGCACTACTACGACGCCTGCGTGTTCGACAGCTGCTTCGTGCCGGGCTCGAGCCTGGAGTGCGCCAGTCTGCAGGCCTACGCAGCCCTCTGCGCCCAGCAGGGCGTCTGCCTCAACTGGCGGAACCACACGCATGGGGCCTGCTGTAAGTGTCCATCTGCCCCTGCCCTGGAGCTGGGGACCTGCAGGCCAGACGTGGTCTCTAGGCTCTGCCGGGTGCTGTGCCCAGCCTGAAGCTAGACCCAGGTGGGCTGTGGCCAGGGATGCAGAGATGGTGGGTGTGAGACCAGGGCTGGGGCCATGGAGTAGGGAAGGCTGAGCTGGAGGAACTGAGGTGCTGGGGGTTCTGCCAGTGTCACTAAATGCAACTGGGTGCCCACCACCTGGCTCGGGACAACTGTGAGGGCAGAGGCTGATGCCCCAGGCAGCTAGCCACCCTCCTCTGTGTGTGGGGCACTAGGCAGCTGTCACTCAAGGGGGTCCAGGCTCCTCCGCCTGACATGAGGCAGCCCTCTGACCCCTGCCCCTGTCCTGCAGTGGTGGAGTGCCCGTCTCACAGGGAGTACCAGGCCTGTGGCCCTGCAGAAGAGCCCACGTGCAAATCCAGGTATGTTGCTTGAGGGTCCACCAGGACCGTGGGCTTGCCCTCTGCAGTGTGGAGGGTGGCATCATCTGGGCATAGCAGTCCCGCCTGCCAGCTCCCCAGCCCCACCCCACCTGTCTGACGATGCCCTCCCGCCCCCAGCTCCTCCCAGCAGAACAGCACAGTCCTGGTGGAAGGTTGCTTCTGTCCTGAGGGCACCATGAACTACGCCCCTGGCTTTGATGTCTGCGTGAAGACCTGCGGTAGGCCACCCACTCACGCTGTCCCCTGCTGCCTCCCTCCCGCCGCCTCCTGGGTGTCCACAGAGGCTGGGAGCAGGAGGCTGACCACCCCCCACCCCTGCTCCCTGCTACACAAGGACTCTGCTAACACAACTTGTTTCTTCCCTCTTCCTAGGCTGTGTGGGACCTGACAATGTGCCCAGAGAGGTAGGCCCCACCTTGGTGCTGGGGGATTCTCCCACAAATTCTAAATTCTGGGGAGTGAGGGATGGACATGAAAACGTAAAGCCTCAAAGATTGAGGAATGAGGTGATCTAAGTTCTGGATGGCTGAGTTGGCAGGGACATCACCCACTCACCCACCCATCCTTCCAACCACCCACTCATCCACCTATGTACCTATCTGCCCACTCACCTACCCCTCCATCCATCCCTCCACCTACCTAGTCATCACCCACTCATCTGTGCACCCACCCACCCACTCATCTACCTACACATCCACCCACCCATCCATCCATCTATCTACCCACCCAGCCAGTCAGCCACCCACCCAACCATCCTTCTGTCCCTCCATTCATCTATCTGTCCTTTCATCCTTCCACCCACCTGGCCATCCACCCACCCATCCATCCACCATCCATGCATCCATCCCTCCATCCATCCCTCCATCCCTCCATCCACCCATCCACCATCCCTCCATCCATCCATCCATCCACCCATCCATCCATCCACCCACCCACCCATGCATCCACCCACCCACCCAGCCATTCATCCACCCACCCACTCATCCACCCATCCATCCACCCATCCATCCACCTATCCACCCATCCATTCACCATCCATCTACCATCCACCCATCCATCCATCCACCCATCCATCCATCCATCCATCCATCCATCCACCCACCCATCCATCCACCATCCATCCATCCATCCATCCATCCACCATCCATCCACCATCCTCCCACCATCCTCCCACCCAGCCATTCATCCACCCACCCATCCATCCATCCACCTACCATCCACCTATTTATCCATCCATTCTCCGTCCCTCCATTTACCACCCATTGGTCATATGATACTCTGTCTAGAAGCTCTGACACGACATCTTGGCCACTTCTGTGCTGCCCGTGCCTCCTACCTGTGGTAGCATCCATGTGGCTGATTCCTTAGCTAAATTCTGCACAAACCTGAGAGGCCTGAGTGGAGCATCTACCACGTGCCAAGCCCCTGCTGGCAGCTGCTGGTGAGCAGGTCATGGTCTTGTGGTATCAGTGAATGAGCAGCGACTGTCCTATCCCAGAACCTGCCTGGTGTGCTCAGGTTGACGTGAGGAGGGACGCGGTTTTCCCCCAGGATCCCTCAGCACTCTGTTCAGGGCAGCTGTTTCTCCCTACTGACCACAGCTGCAGCTCCAGGGCTGTGGTGCGGCGGGGCCTGCCTGGCACCTCCTGTCCTTTCTACTCACCCCTCTTTCCCTGCAGTTTGGGGAGCGCTTTGAGTTCGACTGCAAGAACTGTGTCTGCCTGGAGGGTGGAAGTGGCATCATCTGCCAGCCCAAGAGGTGCAGCCAGAAGTCTGTTACCCACTGTGTGGAAGATGGCACCTACCTCGCCACGGAGGTCAACCCTGCCGATACCTGCTGCAACATTACCGTCTGCAGTAAGGCCATCCCCTGGGGCCCGCACCACCTCTCGGAGGTGCACACATCCCCGTAGGCCGGGCTGCCTGCTGTCCCTTCTGTGGCAAGTGGGAAAACAGCTGGCTTGGGGGCCTCCGATGTGCCCCTTGAGAGGGCTTGGGAGGGGGCCGCTGGGCACAGTCCAGGCCTCCCTGCTGCAGGGCCTGACCTGGGTGGGGGGAGGGGACTCTTGGTGGTGCTGGGGGCCTGACCCTGTGCAGTGGCCCCGGGGGCTTTGCCTGTGAGGAGCCACCCTCATGGCCGCATGCCCACCCTGTCTTCAGAGTGCAACACCAGCCTGTGCAAAGAGAAGCCCCCCGTGTGCCCGCTGGGATTTGAAGCGAAGAGCAAGATGGTGCCTGGCAGGTGCTGCCCCTTCTACTGGTGTGGTAAGCAGAGTTGGTGGGCAGGGCAGGGGGAGGCTGCCGCCCGGGGTGGGGGGCTGGTGGGTGGGCAGGGGGGAGGCTGCTGCCCGGGGTGGGGGGCTGGTGGGCGGGCAGGGGGGAGGCTGCCGCCCGGGGTGGGGTGGCTGTGGGGGATGGGCTTCCTCCTGGGGGCCTCAGATTCTGGGGACACAGATGGCTGCATGCTTGGCTGATGCACCCACCCCAGCCTTGAGCGCCCACTGGGTGTGCACCGGGAGTGGGGGTCTGGCCAGGTGGCCACCCCGGGGCAGTTTCCAACGAACGGCGTTCTCCGTTCTTTCTCCCAAGAGTCCAAGGGGGTGTGCGTTCACGAGAATGCTGAGTACCAGGTGAGCCCTGGGCTGGGTGAGGGGGGAGGAGGGGAGGAGGGGAGGAGGTTGGCTGCAGTGTGGGGGTCCTGGCAGGCTCTGGGCTGGCTGGGGTGCTGGAGAAGCCCCTGCCTCACGTCTCTCCCTATGCCCGAAGCCCGGTTCTCCAGTTTATTCCTCCAAGTGCCAGGACTGCGTGTGCACGGACAAGGTGGACAACAGCACCCTGCTCAACACCATCACCTGCACCCATGTGCCCTGCAGCACCTCCTGCAGCCCAGTAAGCGGCCGCCCCAGCCCTGGTTCCCCACCTCAGCCTGCCCTTTTCCCTCCTCCCAGACAAGTACCCGGGCCCATGTCTGTGTCGTGACACTCTCTTTCCTCCTTTCAATGCCAACCTCTCCCTGTGCCCACCTCTCCGTCCTGACACCTGCCCAGCTTGGGGCCTCCTCCAGGTGGGGGTTGTCGGCAGTCCTGCAGGCTTTGTGTGGTGTGGGGTACAGCCTGGGAGTTCAGCTTCAGTGGCATGTCTGTGTGCGCAGGGCTTTGAACTCGTGGAGGCCCCCGGGGAATGCTGCAAGAAGTGTGAACAGACGCACTGTATCCTCAAGCGGCCTGACAACCAGCACGTCATCCTGAAGGTGTGTGCTGCTGGCCCTGACGTGGCCGGGTTGCTTGAGCCCAGGGCAAGGCACGGGCCACCCAGGATCCCCCAGCTGAGTCCTCCCAGTCCTGGACGCAGCTGTGATGGGCGTCCTGGGGCTGCCATGACAAATGAGCAGGCGTCTTCAGAGCAGAAAGGGATTCTCCTGGTTCTGGGGCCCAGAGATCCCAGGGCAAAGGGCCTCAGGGCTGTGCTCCCTCAGAAGCTCTAGGCAAGGACCTTTCCCAGCCTCTGGTTCCTCCAGGTGCCCCTTGGCTGTGGCCATGAGGTTTCCTTCCCTGTGTCTGTCTCTCCTTTCCCTTGTAAGGATTTAGGGCCCCCCCCAGCAAGATGATCTCATCTTAGGATGCTTCATTTAATGACACCTTCAAAGATCCCTTTTTCAAGGCAGGTCACGTTCATAGATTTAGAGTTACAACACAGACAGATCTTTGAGGGTTGTGTGGGCTCCAGACTGGTGCCTGATGTGGGGTCCCACCCGTGTCGCTTGTCCTGTGGCCCTGGGCCTTGCCAGGAAGCCTCCCCAGCCAGGTGTCTCCAGGGTGTCTTCCTGGCTGGGCTGGGGCTGGGCCTGCTGCCCTCCCTCACCAGAGCTCCCTGCCCCACAGCCTGGGGACTTCAAGAGCGACCCCACGAACAACTGCACATTCTTCAGCTGCGTGAAGATCCATAACCAGCTCATCTCATCCATCTCCAACATTACCTGCCCCAACTTTGACGCCAGCATTTGTGTCCCGGTGAGTGGGCCACCTGGGGCCTGGCTGTGGGTGCTCGGCCGGGAGTGGGGGCACCTGGTGTTCTGAGGGTCTGGGGCCCCAGTGCTGTGACAGTGGCCTTGGGCCTGGTCTGAGCTGCCACAGGAGGCTTTGCCTGGGGCTTTCTGCAGCAGCTACTCCTGCCCATGGCATGGGAGGAAGGTGCTCTCATCCCCAGGAATGTCCGGGGGTCCCAGGCTCATTCTCCTTTCCCTCCAGGGCTCCATCACACTCATGCCCAATGGATGCTGCAAGACCTGTGAGTACAGGGCATAGCCTGGGGGGTGGGCAGGGTCAGGGCACAAGGGCTGGTGCCCTCAGCCCTGCCTGGTGTGGCTGGAGGACGGACAATGGCCTCCGGGCGGGCAATGAGGGCTGGGGGCTGAGGCCGAGCCTGGGGAAGGGATGCAGCGAGGGAGAGCCCTCCCTCTCCCCTCAAAGATGTGGAGGTCCTGCCCCGAGCCACTGCCCCTCTCCCCAGGCATCCTTCGCAATGAGACCAGGGTGCCCTGCTCCACCGTCCCCGTCGTCACGGAGGTTTCGTACGCCGGCTGCACCAAGACCGTCCTCATGAATCATTGCTCTGGGTCCTGCGGGACATTTGCCATGTGAGTTCCAGGCTGGGAGTGTGCCTGGAGGGGGTGGCGGAGGCCCCATAGAGACGAGAGGCCAGCGCTGGCCCTGGGAGGTCGCCCCTCACTCCGCCCTCCCTGCAGGTACTCGGCCAGGGCCCAGTCCCTGGACCACGGGTGCTCCTGCTGCAGAGAAGAGAAAACGAGCCAGCGTGAGGTGGTCCTGAGCTGCCCCAATGGTGGCTCGCTGGCACACACCTACACGCACATCGAGAGCTGCCAGTGCCAGGACACCATCTGCGAGTTGCCCACCGACACCTCCCGCCGGGCCCGGCGCTCCCCCAGGCATCTGGGGAGTGGGTGAACTGGGTGGGCACAGCCACCCTTCACTGCCCTCCACAGCTCTGCCTCCCCCGGACCCTCTGAGCTTCCTGGCCTCCTAAGCTTGGCTTCCTCTCTTCAGATATTTATTGTCTGAGTCTTTGTTCAGTCTTTGCTTTCCAATAATAAACTCAGGCAGACATGCCGCACTGTGTGGTTTAGGTTGGTTCTGCAGGGTGTGGCGTGGCCACTGTGCATGGCGGAGGCCTGGCCACCGGGCTTTGCACACAGGACATGGGGACACCACACACATGCCACGTGGTTGGCACATCCCTCGTAGCAAATGCAGGGCGCATGTGGGGGCTGCCTGCCCTCCACTCCTGGTTCTCACCCTGGGCAAAACCCCCATGGGGCCATGGAAACGTGGTCAGATTCCCTGGTAGGAATCCCCCCAGCCCTGAATCTGTGAAAAGAGCCCTGGGTTCCTTCACAGTCATTTCCCAGGCTTGCCACGGTTGGTGGGGACTTTGTGTAGCCCCGAGGGTCAGGTGGCCCTGGGGAGGGGGTGTGTGTGTGTGTAGCCCTGAGGGTCAGGTGGCCCTGGGGTGTGTGTGTGTGTGTGTGTAGCCCTGAGGGTCAGGTGGCCCTGGGAAGGGAGGGGGTGTGTGTGTGTGTGTAACCCTGAGGGTCAGGTGGCCCTGGGGTGTGTGTGTGTGTGTGTGTGTGTGTGTGTGTAGCCCTGAGGGTCAGGTGGCCCTGGGGAGGGTGTGTGTGTGTGTGCGCGTGAGCATTTGCTTGTGTGCACACGTGTCTGCATGTGCCGTATGTATGTGAATTGCACCTCGCCCTGGGTCTCTACACTGGGAAAATGGAGAAGGTCTTAGTCCTCAGGTCACTGTCAGCTCCTGCTGCAAAGTGACAAAAGGCAACAAGGACCTGGTGGCCCCGTCAGGGCTTTGGGGAGCTGCCAGGCAGAGCTGCCAATGCCTTCAAATCTGCAGAAGTTCTAGTTGGCTCTGTGGACCCAGCCAGACAGGGGGCACTGGGTGTGGACCCTGGGCACAATGCCCACTCGTGTTGGAGAGCTGAGCCCCCGGCCTTCTAGGTGGAGCCCACGGAGGCTGCTGGGGCCAGAGCAGGTGCTTGTGTAGTTCAGAGAGGAGTCTGGTGTCTCCTGTCAAAGGCAGGTGTGTGCGGGGGGGCCGAGGCCCCTGAGCACAGTGATCCAACCTCGAGCATCCTCTGAGGTCAAAGGGGAGGACATCTGTCCCCAGACCGCAAGGCTGTGCCACACCCTTTACATGTGTCGAAACCCTCAGGAGGACAGACACCGGGGCTGGGCTCCGCACTTCCAAAGCCAGGGTGCAACAGGTCCCCAGGGCGTGACAGGTCCCCAGGACACAACAGGTCCCCAGGGCGTGACGGGTCCCCAGGACACAACAGGTCCCAACAGGTCCCCAGGGCGTGACGGGGTCCCCAGGACACAACAGGTCCCAGTGGCGTGACGGGTCCCTGGGTGCAACGGGTCCTCAGGGCGTGACGGGGTCCCCAGGACAACAGGTCCCCAGGGCGTGACGTCCCCTGGGACACAACAGGTCCCAGGGCGTGACGGGTCCCTGGGACACAACAGGTCCCCAGGGCGTGACGGGTCCCCAGGACACAACGGGTCCCAGGTGTGTCGGGTCCCCAGGACACAATGGGTCCCAGGGCGGACGGGTCCCCCCTCGACACAACAGGTCCTCAGGGCGGACGGGTCCCCAGGACAATGGGTCCCAGGGCGTGACGGGTCCCCAGGACACAACAGGCCCCAGGGCGTGACGGGTCCCCTGGGTGCGATGGGTCCCGCCCCCGCTGTCCTACCTCCCAAGTAGCTGTACAGGCATGTGGTACCATGACTGGCTAATTTTTAAGAACTTGCTTTTTGTTCTTATCTTTCAAAACAATCCTATGTTTTACTAAAATAACATGCAGGTGATTTTTGAATAGTTTTGTTTGTTTTGTAGAGACAGGGTCTCACTATGTTGCTCAGGCTGGTCTCAAACTCTTTCCTGGGTTCAAGCGATCCTCCCACCTCAGCCTCCCAAAGTACCAGGATTACAAGCATGAACCACTGAGCCTGGCTCCTGGCGGGGGGCTGAGGCCACTGCCCTCCCCTAGCTGCTGCCTCCCCCATCTGACCCCAGGAAGGGCAGTGGTTGAGGGCCGGAGTTGAGCAGCAGCCCTGTGGGGTCCGAAGCCAGTTGGGACATCCCAGCTCATCAGCGCCACCCAGGGTCCTGGGGCCTGCTCAGGCCTGGGGCCTTTCCACTTCCCCGCTTGGCTCAGCAGAGCCCCCAAAAGGACCTGCTCATCCCCTCTGGTGGCCCCAGGAGCCCACACTGTCTGGGCCTAGGGACCTCCTGGGTGGTCAGTTGGCCTGGGCCTGCCTTGGAGCCCCTGAGGCCACCCCAGAGCCTCTGGCATAGCCACGTGGGGATTCTGGGGGCTTCAGAACTGGCCCTTCCATGAAGCGGTCAGCATGACCCCCAAAGCCATCCCTGGGTCATTTCGAGGGTGACCTGTTTCCGGCCCACCCCCAAAACGTATGTATCTGCCTGGCTGTGGCCACTGGGCCCAGCAGTCCCTGCACAGGCCAGGGAATGGGCAGGGCAGGGTGGGGGCACTGTAGTCAGAGACCTGGTAAGGAAGAGGTGGCCAGGCTCTCTCCAACTTCCTCATCTGTCCCCCGGCTTCCAGCTGTGAAGAGGGGTTTCTCCTGGTGATGCAGCGTGGACACGGGTGCGGCTGGGCCCCTGCCTGCTCTTCCCTGCTGTGCCCTTTGAAGCAGAGGCTACCCGGGAAGCTCAGGAGAGCATGAGCCCTGACTCCAGTCCTTCCCCAGACAGCCCTGCCCCTTCCCAGAGCAGGCCCCACCCCTTTCCTAGGACGGGCCCCTCCCCTTCCCCAGAGCAGGCCCCACCCCTTTCCTAAGATAGGCCCGCCCCTTCCCCAGAGCAGGCCCCTCCCCTTCCCCAGAGCAGGCCCCACCCCTTTCTTAAGACAGGCCCGCCCCTTCCCCAGAGCAGGCCCCTCCCCTTTCCTAAGATAGGCCCGCCCCTTCCCCAGAGCAGACCCCACCCCTTTCCTAGGAGAGGCCCCGCCCCTCCTGCCCTCTCAGGATCTTCCTTTTGGGTTCTCTTGTGTCCAGAACTCCAGTGCAGGTGTTGTGGGCTGGGAAGGAGCTACCCCTTCAGGTGGAGGTAGGGTTGGTGCCAATGGAGGGGCAGGGAGATGCAGGGGCTCCCTTACCACCATGTCCAGTCACTGTGCAGCCCCTAACTTTATCCCCAGCGGCCTCCTCTTCCTCACATAGCTCATGCCCCCAGCTGGGTCCTCCTGGGTCTCCCTAGGGGTGACCTGGGGCAGGGACTGCCTGGCCTGTTTCCCTGGGCTCCCCACAGTGGGCTAAGCCCACAGCAGAGGAGATAGGGAGCCAGTCAGCCAGGTGGGCAGCCCGCTACCCCCTTGGAGTAGCTGGAAGGGTTGGAGTAGCTGGAAGGGTTGGAGTAGCTGGAAGGGTTGGGACCACGTTCTCTCATTCTCTGGAAGAAGCTGGCTGTTCCCACAGCGGCCTCCCTGTTTCTGGGAGCAGACGGAAGGCCCAGTGCGTGCTCCTCCTTTCCCCCAATGTGAGACTTGCTATTGTTCCCTTGGCTGAAACAAGCCATGCGCCTGGCTGTCAGGTGCTCCGGGCTGTGCCAGCAAACCACAAACCAGGGGCTGAAAGCCACAGGAAAGCTCCATCCCACAGCTCCAGAGGCCGGAGTCCGAGGCGAAGGCGTGGCAGTGCCACACGGCCACTCAGGCTAGGGGAGGATGCTCTCCGCCCTTCCAGCTGCAGGTGGCTTTGGGCTTTCCTTGGCTTGTGGCTGCATCGCCCACACCCTGCCTCCGTATCCGTGGGGGCTTCTCCCGGGTATTTCTCCCTTTGCATCTCTTCTAAGGACACTAGTCATTGGATTTAGGGCCCACCCGATAATCCAGGCTGATCTCGTGAGGTCCACAATTTAATCATATCTGAAGAGACCCTTTTTCTTTTTCTTTCTTTGGAGACAGATTCTCACTCTGCCACCCGGGCTGGAGTGCAGTGATGTGATCTCGACTCACTGCAACCTCCGCCTCCCCAGTTCAAGCAGTTCTCCTGCCTCAGCCTCCTGAGTAGCTGGGATTACAGGCATGCGCCACCACGCCCAGCTAATTTTGTATTTTTAGTAGAGATGAAATTTCCCCATGTTGGCCAGGCTGGTCTCAACTCCTGACCTCAGATGATCTGCCTGCCTCGGCCTCCCAAAATGCTGGGATTATGGGCGTGAGCCACTGCACCTGGCCTCGAGTCTTGGTGGCTCACGGCAGCAGGGTTCTGTCTGGTTCATGCTCCGTTTGTGGCTGCATGACTGGTGCCCTCCTCCACACCCGGTCACTCTAGGGCCTAGGCTGCGGGAGCAGCTATCGCCTCCGTGGTCACAGTGTGGGGACGGGAGACCGAGGGTCGTGCCCATGTCTAAGTCCCCTGAGGGGTTCTGACTCTGCTCAGACACTAGGTCCCTGGGGCTGCAGTACCACCACCAGGCAGGAGAGGGTGCCAGAGACGTGTGGAGGATTTAACAACGGAAGGCTCTCAGGTGCAGACAGGTTTCTGATGGGAGTCGACAGCGTGTCTCAACCTGCTGTTATAAAAAAAGCAAGCCCAGATGAGAAGGAAGCCGTCTCAACCTGTTTAGGAATGTCTGCCCAGAAACTGCAGCACACATCGGACCCCTTGCTGGGACTTGGGAATCACTCCCACAGAAGCCAGGGGACACGGGAGATGTTGGCCACGGCTGTGCCTTCCTTTTATGGGGGTGCTGGAGGCTTCTCCAAGGCTGTGAGACAAGAGCAAGAAGAAATGAAGACCAGCATTGGGAGACAAAACCATCCTGATTTGTTTCATTTTTATTATTTTTTGTAGAGACAGGGTTTTGCTATGTTGCCCAGACTGGCCTTGAACTCCTGGGCTCAAGTGATCCGCCTGCCTCAGCCTCCCAAAGTGCTGGGATTACAGGTGTGAGCCCTTACAGGGATTCCCAAAGTGCTGGGATTACAGGTGTGAGCCCTTACAGGGATTCCCAAAGTGCTGGGATTACAGGTGTGAGCCCTTACAGGGATTCCGAAAGTGCTGGGATTACA